GTTAACACACTGAACTCGCGAAATGCTTCATTGTATTGGACACTCCTTATGCCGCCGGCTCTTCCGTGGAGAACTGTGATCCTTCCTATGGCTGCGTCCACTGACTCGGGGTTCTTTTAGCTCTGTAATTCTTGTGCCTTATTTTATCGTAATACTTAGATCCTTTTCGGATTAAATTAACCAAATAACAGGCTTAGCCTCTAAAATCAAAATCGGTTCTTCATCATGGAACAATTTTTTTAAGGTTTTTAATTCTTTTATTCATTTTCACCACACATTTAGCTCTGTTAGACAACATAGAGTATTAGCATTTCCCTTTAAATTTAAATATTTAATTACAAAATTGAATAGTGTTAGATATGAATCAACTAACAGTTGTTCAAAAGTATGTTGTCGCCTTACGAATCTCAATGACGGGCTAAGTCTATTCATCGTAAATGAAGGAATCTAGGATGGCCGGAATGGTATGTGCGTGTAAAATACTTTACAAAATCTGACTACATGATTTTATTTTCTAGCGAAATTAAGCTTTGGCTAACAATAACTGTATTAAACGATATGACTAATGTTGGCATCCATTGGGCACCGATGAGTTCCATCTACCAATATGCAGTGTCGTTGATGGGACATACTGAGTGCAAAAATCAAAGCCTTCGATAACTCAGGGGACAAGCGCCTACCTTTAAGTTTAAAGTGCTTAAAGATCTATAAAAGACGGCACTCATGGGACGGATATAGAAATTTGTTGCATTGCAGAGGACTAGTAGTTCAATTTCTCGCCGTCATTATTCTATACTGCTTTCCAATGATGTCTAGAAGGGACGAACGATGTTAAAGTCACAGCAAATAAATATTTGACAGTGAGGATAAAAAGACTTCGTTTTTGAATGGTTATATAAACGAAAGCTTATATATAAAATTAGTAAATTAAAATTGGACTCATTGGTTTAATTGAAGGAATAGATAGGTACCACATGTCAGCGATGAGTGCTGGTAGGGAGGTAGTCTGATGTTAGAAAACGATGTGTGAAATAATACCCTAAGCCCGGAGATTTATTTCGAGCTACACAACGACGCCGGCGACTGCTTTCACGGGACTCTTACACTCCATCGAAACTTAGAAACAGTAATGAGTAAGAGTAGTGTGAATTTGCCTTTCAGCCTTAATAATGAAGTTCGACATTTAAATGGTTGACACGATTTTCATAACTGGTGACCAATTTGGAGACTCAGCGTCTATCAGAAGCAATTTTTGTGGATGGTCAACGCAATTCGAATACTAACGAATACACTAAAAGTGGTTTTTAGCACCTATTCATGACTAGTTGTTTCTATTTACAAGTTATTTATCCAAATCTGAAGCCCAATCTATATTACATCCATTTAAAGTTTCTTATTTTATCTTTTTGAAAACTTATGTTTAAGCATGTGGAATAGAGGTAGGATCAGTCTGCGATTTCAACTAGCAATTTGATCTACCAAAGCAATCTCTCAATTGACTGTAATTTCAAAAGACCCATGCTATGACTTTGAGACCGAATCCAGTCTTTACCGCATCACCAGTCCTTCAAACTAGACATTTCATATTTCTTGATCATATCCGCTTTTGATAATTCGATATTATTTAAGGACAATAAATCCGTTTCTTATCCAAAACGTCTGTGCTGCGACACACGTGACCGTATTAGCTCCCATGTTGTCTACCGCGCATCGTTCAAATAAGCACAGGTCACATCCATCGATCGATTAACAGGATAACCAACCAAACATATGTCTATTTTTGAGTTTGAAGAAAATATCCCCATCCACGCGGAAACGCCATCATGGGGCGCCGAAACCACCGGCAATAAGTCGTCAGTTGAGAAGGTCGGATTTCAAGTCGTGATTTCAGCATCCCAAGAGAGAAAGGAGAGCAAGACGCAGTCAGGACTTGCACAAACAAAGAATCTAAGCGAGTCTTTTAGCTGTATAGATCCGAAAAATGAGGAATTACTATGTCGCCAGGACCAGACCCCAAATATTTCGTTTGATGATACCGCCGACCATCCAGCTGGCGGTTCCGAACAAGAAGTAGTGAATGAGATAGCTGAGTATAAAGACCATGATATGGTGAGCGATGTGAATACAGACTTAATGGCCTTGGAATCTCAAAAGTTGAGCCACGATTTAGCAATGTTGGCACTCGACAGTGCTGAATTTAAGATAAAAACGCTCATTGGTAGCGTCCTAAGCTCCGAGGTTCCAGTGAATTTAGAAAACATTGAGAAGACTGAAGCACTAAACGAGCGAATTTACGGAAGATACCAGACTCATGACTCCTTCGATTCGGCAACCCTACAGACAGCAGCCTTTAATCCAAGACCAATTGGCGCAAGTTCAGACAACATGATGCTTTACACGAAGCCCCCTACAGGCCAGCATTATCCTCCATACTCACCTCCTGGTAGCTTTCCATTGCCTTTTTTTACGAGAAGACATCACTATATTGCATTTGTCGGTCATTGCACACCCAACTGTCCCTCTACCTGGCATTTGCAGGCCGACAAAACCGTCTACTCAACCCTGTCTTTACTTGATTCAATTAACCTTAGTCGGAAAATGCTTGGATCCTATACTGAGGCTCTGGAGAATGAAACAGTGGCTGGGGAAGATAATAACATCGAAAGTGTTATTGAGCAAATTAAACAAATGATGAAGTCCCCGACTTTCAACCGGTCGAATCTCAGAACTTTGGAAAAATTCATATCGGAAGCAGCGAAGTCAAGTGAACAGTGAAATAAAAACAGTGGGGAATAATATTACATTAAATGAAAAGGCGTATTACTGCACCGCGTATAGTCTGACTAAGAGAACAGCAAGTTAATTGTAATAAATGAGCCGACTTAAGGTAACTAGGCGAAGCTAGTCGGTCTAAGCTACTGGTTTATTCCAATAGAAAGGTCTTCATATAATTTGTACAGATTAAGCAGCGAATGAAGCAAAACTTTTGCAAACTCTTGTTTAAGTATTTCTGTTATTCCTCGTGGTCCATGAACCTGTGCTAGTGATGTGCCAACACATCTAATCCTTCTTAATGAATTAAAAGGTAGATCTTTGGTGGTCAGAAACTGAAAACCTGGAGCTATTGTAGTAGAAGTGGATTTGCCATCCAGAACGGGTCTACAAACTTGCTAAATAACATCATGATTTGATTATTCTTCGGCTCACATTACACCTTGGACATTGTTGTGGGCCCCGGCATGTGGTCTTGAAACACGCCGGGGCCACGGAATTAGCCCTGGCCCGATTACGATTGCCTGATACCCGCGATGAAGAAAAAGACCGAAGATGACTTGGACACAACCGTTTACTTCAGAGTTCAACTTCGTTGGTGTCGTTGTGTCCTGCGTGGGATTTGCGCGTGTGTATTTATACCTCGGATGTGTGAGTCATACATGCGCTAACATCGAGACCTAGGTGTGGGGATACTCCAAAATAAATATTCGTGCTAATGACGGGGGAGTAGAGGATTCGTGCGGCTGGCGACACGCTGCGACAAGGGGAACCCTGTGTAGGAGGTGGAGCGACCGGAGTAAGGGGTTGAATAAACACGATTTACAACACCAATCAAATCTGTTGGGGGGGTTTGCTATAGGGATAATCTGCTTCTGTTTCGGTCCCAGCCCTGTACTCACAATCGTGCGTAGTAGCTAGTGCTTGCATTAGGTTCAGTCAACTATTAAAAGTTGCGATTCTGAACAAGGGTTTGGATAGTGGTGCTAGCATCCGCATAGGACGAAGTAAACGGCAGTGTGCAGAATACCCGAGCCCTAGTATGAAGACTGGTACAACAGAAAATGCTTTATTGACCAACTACGAGCCAGAACCACACGTCAGGCGCCGTCCATCAGAGTTCATCACACTGGCTGCTCCGCTTATTACATACTGATTCTCATACGTGTCCGTCTCTGGTTGGCTGCATATCTCTCCCGCATGCCACTGGAACGCGAAGAGACAGGGGATTGGCTGAGGCCGGCGCGGTCCACTATATCTGCGCGCTCATGCATCACTACAGGTGGTACCGTAGTCACATAGAGTTCGGATTGGCCATTCGCGTCTGGGGGCATCCTGGTGTGCTTGTAACCCACTTCCATAAACTTCACAGTTGCCAGTGACGTGTACGTACATAACGCCACTTTGGCTTTAAAATTAAGAAAATGTCTAGAGCATGCTGGAGGCGCAAATAAATGACCACTCTGGACATTAGGATGCCATCCAGTTAGTTTTGACAAATATTTTTCGGAGATGAACTCTTTAATAAATTAATCCCGGACAAGGTCGAATAAGGAGGGCTAAAGAACAACGAATAGGGAAGGCGTGACCGTGTCACTTGCCCTTCACTGACGAGTCAATCGGCATTTAACTTTGTCACATAGGAAATCAGTTTAGAAGATAGACATTTTTCCGGAAGGTCTTTCAACTTCTTAGTTAAATGATAAAGAATTCTGCAGGGATATAATTAGATTATGCCAAAAGCCAGGCATTTCTTTAAGTGCACTTATATGTGAGGGACAAATCTACAACTCTATTATTCTTTTTACCAAAGAAGCCCATGTTAAGCGTCTGTTTTTTGGATATTATCGAATTCCATATCAGAACTTGGTTTGGACAGGCGAATAAAGCCACGCGAATTCGCATGTACATTTTGCCAGAGTAACCAATTAAATTATTTTATTTCCAATGTCCATAGCGCAGAAAAGCCATTTTTCCGCTTTTAATATCGAAGGAATTTATAATGCACAAGGCAGTGGCACCTAAAAGATTATTGCAATTTGCATTTCAGCCTTGCCAGGGAGATTTGATCGTCTGCTTCGTTTGACAGTTTGTTTGAAATACGCATAACACCCCCGTTACGTATTCGGATTATCTGAGCACGGATGCGCCCAACTTAAGAATGATACACTTAATGTGGGCACGTTTTCGTTTAGTAATTGTCAATAATTGTGACTTAAAACAGGAATATTCAAGATTTTAACGCATCTTTAAAAAAGTTAATGGTTTGGGTGGTGGTTGCGACCAGTTGGGATGGAATGAATCAATAAATACGCTCATTAAACCGATCAATAAAACCTGGGGGACACTACAACGGAATACACAGAATGCAATGGAATTTTTATTGCTGTGCCAAAATCTAGCAACTATTATAACCATTATAAACCCATGTCACCCACCGCAATTAAAAGGCTCACAAACCATGCATAAGAGAAATACTTCGAAACCTGCATTCTGCCACACACTCCTTCCTAATTCCTTTGTCAGGCATCACTGATCGCAAAACCGACCGATTTCATCAAACAGCGGCTACGAATGAATTCGATTTAAGGGAAATCTTCCGTTTGCAAAAATACGCTCACTACCCTTTGCGTAACTCCAAGCGAATAAAAGAGAGCAAATTGTGCGGTCATTCACAACAAGTAAGCCTGGACATTCGACCATTTACAGGAGGCGGATGCTCATCCAGTCGTGATTCCCTCACAAGAAGGAACCATCCTAAAGATAAACGGTTGTAGTTTTCGGCTTACGCAGTACCTACGGAATCGGGATCAGTTGTTTAGAATGGTAATCCTCAACTCATACTGAACCTCATGCTTGACTGGGAATAATCCAGGTAACGCTGACACCGTGGTTTGAGTCTGCGGGAACCAAAAGCAGAAACCAATTATTCTTCTTAAATTCAGTCGTGGTCACAACGCACGAACTTAAAAACCACTTTTGGTGTTCGTACTCAGTCTAAACTCAGGGAGATCAGGTCGAGCCCGTTTTAAATAAACATAGTCTCAGCACGGTGCAAAAAAATAAAATTGAACAGACCATCAACCAGAATTAGCCGACGAACAATTATACACTGCAAAACATCAAACTAGATATTACCTAGCAACATTGGCTTGGAGCATCTCTTTGAAGTGGGTCTTCTGGAATATAAGCAGGTTTGCAGTTTTTGTCACGACATAATAACAATTTCATTGTAACTGCAATCTAGCTTATGTTTCCTCCAGAAAAATCAAAATCGCCACAATCCTTCAGTTGGTAGCAGAATCGGTGAACCGTTGCTTTTCTAATAAACACGCCACATCGTATAAGCCATGTGATTTCGAAGCCACCACTATCGATCCCTCCTCCATGGGCCCACACTGACTGCCAGAGATGGACAACAGAAACAACTCAATATTCAGAATAGAGAAAACCGTGGACCTTCGACAGGACGCGGTGCCAGTGGAGGCCACCATCACTGTCGTGAGTGACCATCCAAATGAGTCCGAGAACTTAATTAAAACTCCCATCCAAATCAAAACAACAGATGTTACCTCCGAGGATGTGGACAACAATGAGGTTTCAAAGCATATTCCGACGACGTCCAGCGCAGTAACGTCACCAAACAACTACGTGGCTGCCGATTTAAACCCACAAACGCCAGAATCGTTGAATGTCATCAGCAGCATCTTTACTAACGAAGAGCGCATCAACGACGAGTCGGCGTCCCTACATCGCGTCATGAATGCAGCTTGCTTGTTCACTCCTGAGGTTATTCATAAGTTCAGTGAAGTGCAGGAAAGTAAAGGTGAACACATATGCGAAAGCTCTGAAGATCTTTCTAGTCAGAAACTCGACCCGGAGGATGTGGATCAAGTAACATGCCGTGCGCAAAGTTACATTCAAACCACACTACCCATCCAGACAGCGAGTCTCTTTACATCTGAGATTATTTGCAAGCTCGGAGAACTGATCGACGAAAAGAAAATCTACCAGATGCAACACAGAAATTCAGAAGACACCATCAGTCAACAATGCTTGACGCTGAAATCCGACACAGAAACGCTGGCACAATGTCGAAGTCCTCGTGATAATGCACCAGCGAAAATCTCAACCGCCCCCTGCATAGTCCCTAAACTGTGTGGATGTGCGAGAAACTGTCATTTTGGTGAAAGAGGACCTTTCCGACATGAAAGCCGGAAGGCGATTTCGGAATCACTGCCGAAAATCCAACCTCATAGCAGAGGCAACAGAAATTTTATGAATCGTATTTTCGAGTTAGATAATTGTCGGCAGACACCCGGGCGCAGTGGGGAATGGGGGTGGAGCACGAGACAGGGGCAGGAGTATGCGGAGTACCATAGACGATCCAATCACTACCACAAAGAAAGGCATCCCGAAATACACGACAGGAATTCCTGGAAGCGAATTTGCGGAAGTGAGGATAGAGTGGTTTCGGTGGACCCGTGCAGCAACGGTAAGGTGGCAGGAGACGATGTCAGCCTCCTAACGTCCCTTCACATAACAGCGAACATGCTGCAGTCATACGTACAAACAGGGCTCGCAACGGACAGTAAAGAAAAAGAGGCAATGGAAGGATTCATTAGTGAGGTCAATGGGCTTCTAAAAGTGGAAGGGGCCCTGCCGATTGGCTTAGAGTCAGCTAAAAATCTACTGGCATTACTAGACAGGGCTCGAGTGCACATTCTTAGCTCTACGAGAGGCAGACGATCCAGTAGTCTCAGCGTGAGCCGATGTGGACGTCATTCATTTTTATACGTGCCCCAATAAAATCTGTCCACACCTCAGCACCGATCACCTCTATGTATAAAAAGGAACAATTATGCTTTACATGCAGCTGGATTCGAGACGGCTTTGCTTGATCAGCGGATATAGTAATTCCTGTCGCTTGCGACCAATCTTCAAAATACAGTTGATGCCACCTAAGATGTGTTCGCAGTCAGTAATGTAAATGGTATAGCAGGCGATGGGTGACGGCAATGGCGTGAGCTTGGTGTTTTCGGCGTATTTATTTAATGTCTCCCGGTTTGGATACTCAGAGAAGCCAAAGAAGAGAGTAAGACGTGCAGGTATATCTGCGTATAAGTTGCTAAAGCAATTGTGGAAATAGAAAAATGCAAAGAAAAACAACAAAGAGGAATCGGACATCAGTGATCTACAGTTAGGCGCCCCGATCAATTCGATGTCCGGAATTAATAACACGGCGCATAAAAAGACAGTGCTGTCGACCCAGTGATGGAATATAGGCTAAACAGATTTCCACATCACCACTTTTGAAACAACTACAGTGGATAAAAAGGTTTAATGTTTGCGTATATGTATGTAAAGCACAAGGTGGGCGCACATCCATCAAGCATTTGCCCAATCAATATCTAGAAAAGCTAAGTGTTCAATTGGGAACCAAAACGCCATTAAAAGAAGGTGACACGTCCCACAGTGCCTCTAGACATCTGGTTGAATACTCAAAAAGACAGGAAATTTCCAAAATAGAATGTGTAAAATTCGGACAGACTAATGTACAAGTATAATGTTCATACTAAAGACACTTAAACGCGATAATAGCGACTAACACCGGATTCCTGTACCAATAGCCATAAACATTCCGAAAGTTCCGCCGCCTTGAATCATTCCCTTTCCGACGGTCTGGATTAGTTCGCGTCCACGAAGTCCATGCCTAAAAGGAAAATACACTGCAGTCGCTTTGTGGCGAGAATTCGATTATTTATCTAATTGCTACAGTAGACGTTAAGAGCACCACACAATCTATTAGGTAAAAAAATTAAAGGGGAACATTTAATGATATACATACCATGATCCGCCAGATGACGGAGTTACATTACTAACCTTAAACAACTAAATCCACCGAAAATTGCGCCAGTGGCCATGCCAACGCAGAACCCCATAAAGAACCCCATTTTCATCCGTTGAAAACATGAAGGCTGATTGGATTGACTGAAGGCACCACCACTGGGGACCGGCATGACCTAATTTTACGAACGATAGTTAAATCACAAAATAATAGCAAAAAGCACTCGATTTAGTTAAGCAGGTTTTTATTGACGAGAAAAGTAACAATCACCAGAAAAAAATTAGGTCAACCACCGAAAAATCTACACAAAGTAGTGTTAAGTGAAATCCAAAAACATACATTAGCATTAAAACAACCAGTAGCAAATTCCATAATCCGATAAAGAGACGAAAATAGCGGACACTGTGCACAAAACCTTTGGCTTTTGAGGCTTATCAGGAAAGTGAATGGGCAATAATTGAGCCTACCTATACTCGATGATTCTTCATCGAAAATTGGGTCTGGTTTGCTAAAACAGCAATGCATTTAACGCATTTCTTACAAATTGAAATTTAGTACAGCAACTGCATTCAAAATAAGTGTGCTAAAGTGGAGATAAGTAGTTAAAATTTCAGAACCTTGCGACAACGATATCTGACAGCATGACAACCTCAGCGAATAACCAACCTAAGACTTCAAAAAGGCCGCCTTGCGAGAAAACTGGCTAAACGTAGCCATAAAGCATGAAACAAACTAGGTAAAGCAAAAGAGACTTAAAACATCATTGTCATTAAATTACTTCGAAACAATCACAAATAATAAGATGACGATGCTATGTTATTCGGGTAACTGTACCGTGTCTGCGAATACTTCTATAAATTCGTCACGGTCATTTTGTTGTTTTAACAATCTGATGAGTTTCCAACCTTAGCAAAAAAATCAGCTTGAATCTTTAATCCTTAAATTACACATCGCACTGTAGTCATCCTTACCACTGATTGGCTGCTGATCTTATATGAGAGCCATTCTAACAGGCAAAATCTGAAGGTGTGGTGCGCCCGGTGTAAATCAAATATTTGCGTCCTTGCACATTACTGTAGTAAAGTTCCTATAGGCCTCAGGCACATTTAAATATATCGAGCGCCAAGACTATACACGGTTTTTTCTGAGTTTGAATGGATTGCGTCGGAGACCAGCAGCCAACCAGAAGGAAGGATGGATACGATGAACTATGTAGTTAGCAGCAAAGTCAGAATAGAGGACTGGGATATACGACGCCTGACGGCCTGGTATGGTTCGTTACAAATCGAAAAAGCATGTGTCATGGCAACAGTATTCCTCATACTGGGGCTCGGATATTTTACTGTACAACTACACTACTTAGAGGTAGCCAAAACTGAGCTACTAGCCCAAAGGTGCACTAGTGTACTTTTAAATATTCAATAGTGATGATGGCTGTCATTTTTCATTGTTTTACTTAAAGATTAAGTAAGTTCATATTTAGAATTATGCAAGTGAAGCGATGTATTTGTGGTTTATTAGTCTGTCCTCCTTCGAACCCCCGAATATTTATCGGGTCGAATTAAAATATTGTCAATTTCAGACTAACGTTCTGCGATAATGCAAGTCTCCCGACACAGTTCAAATACTTTAACGATTATCACATTTCGTTCGAGTGAGTTTGCTGAGTGTAACCCAGCATAAATCAACTGCTGTTTGGGTAACCATATTTTTGCTAAATTCTGCATCATGTTCTCACATTGTGTGTTTCAGGAGACAAAAGTGATTAAAAACCTGCAAAATAAAAAATGCAAATAAAAAATTTGCAAATTATATTTACTTTTAATAACTTGATTGCTCTAGGTGGTTTTGAAATAGATCCTAATTTACACACCTCTACAGTCTATTTGCCACTAGATAACATCAACAGACAAGTTGGCTTGGACAAAATGGCTCTCAAATTTTGTTCCTCATTACGCAAAGCCAAAATTATTTATTGCGACAAAGCTGTACATTATTTATATGAATGGCGGCATTAATAGCTTATTAAGAATAACTTGGGTTATGTTTCCTGATATAGTTTAATTCTTGAAAGCAGGTTTGGAAAAAATTATTGATCCGGGAAGTCACGAATAATTTGTGTCATTAAACTACTTAAAAACCCTAGAAGATGGAATGAAATTTGTTATTGTAGGAAGCACTTTCACGTAAATTTCAGTTATGCTGATTCGATTTTGAGTTGTGGTGCTGACAATGCATTCATCTACTGAATGCATTTCAATAAGAAAAAGTCCTTGAAAAAGTGATAGTCCCATTAAATTAGCTTAGGTAACACCGCCTTACAACCCTCTACTTAACAGCTTGTACTACCGAAATAAGAGAGAAGAGTGGCGACAATGGACACGACTATTTATTAGTGTTAGGCCAAGCGTATGTCTTAGTACGGGGATGAGTAAGCGTATGACAAGTGCCTGGTAGAAGCGACCACTGAAAAGGAGATGTGTCACTGACAGTCTGGTCAGTAAACATGGTTTATTTAGGCGCGATTGCTACTAACTCGCTACACGCACATTAGTATAATTTAGTCATGGGCTGTAAAAGTATTCACGAGTCCAGTGATCACACGTAAGCAGAAGATAGATATGTAGGGCAGCGACAACCATTGAACATTGGAGTTTTCAATCCTGCATACAAAAAACATATTTTAAGAACGACCAAGTGGATTAAAGACCACAATCAGACATAGCCAGGAAACTTAGATAATAGGGTCTAGAATTAAATGGATACGTACCTGGTTTACCTTGTTAGCTTGTGAAAAAAATGTAAATCAATGTTCCCAGTTCAGTTTCTTTTCCTAAATTGTGAAAAAATTGTGTATTAAAACTAGGACATGATAACGTTATCCGTTTTCAAAATGCTACTTTCTAGAATCTGCAAGGTTAACTTAAAGTAATTAACTAGTCACTACTGTCCAGATGTTTAATGAAGCCTGCAATCTTGATGAACAAGTACCGACAGCTTCATGGTGAAAACTGCAACGCAGCTTTGGTGCTGTTTTTTGTGCTGCCTAAACTGTAAATAAAAAAAGCTATATTTAGCCGACTCATTTTTACTTGCCATGCGATGGTCTGGATTCCTGTGTCCAAGGACTTCTGTAGGAAAACTTCAGTTTTCGGCAAGAATACTTCTTTTCACTAATATTTATGCTCTTTCTACCCTCTAGGATGCGTGACTAACTCCATATTTCCCAATGCAACAAAAGTTACGTTTTGCATTGTAGTTCCTTTGAGATTTTTTAACAGATTTTAACTCTTGAACTTTTGTGGAAGCAAGCCTCTTAAAAACAAGTTGCAGCAAAATAATTGCTTTTTTAATTGGCCTAAAAGTATGCTTTTGGTGAAATAATATAAAAAGCAACAATTTATGAAGTCTTGATTGCTTTGGGCAATATGCAGTTTAACTATTTTATAACCAATCGCAAGTGTTCGAAATTTCTGCGGGTCATTCGTTCTGCATAAACTTCCCCAATAAATGGCTTCCAGGGATGACGAATATGACTATCTTTTCAAAAGTGAGTTCTACCTCTCTTTTCTATTTCGTTGCGTTTGATAATAGTTGTGTTAATCGGTGATTCTGGCGTTGGCAAGAGCAATTTATTATCCAGATTTACGCGGAATGAATTCAACCTCGAAAGCAAAACAACCATTGGAGTTGAATTCGCTACAAGGTAATTTACCAGTTTTTGTCGAAAGGCTACAGGAGTGTAAAAATTGACGACAAAACTATCAAAGCCCAAATATGGGACACTGCTGGGCAGGAACGTTACCGTGCTATTACTTCAGCGTAAGTTCACTTGACAGTAACTTGGTCTTAAATTTCGTTAATTTCACTTGCAACTTTCCTTCTGTAGGTACTATCGTGGAGCTGTGGGTGCTCTTCTAGTGTATGATATTGCCAAATACTCCACGTATGAGCACGTTCACGTCTGGTTAAAAGAACTTCAGGATAATGGGGACAATAATATTGTTACCATGCTAGTTGGGAATAAGTGTGATCTGCGCCATCTTCGCACTGTTCCAACGCAGGAAGCAAAGGCTTTCGCAGAAAGCAAAGGACTTCACTTCATCGAGACGTCTGCCTTAGACTCGACAAACGTTGACGAAGCTTATATTTTCTTGCTTCAACGTACGTTGACCCCCTTGCTTTTCTGATTAATGTTTTTGAACGCACTTAACTATGCGCTTAAAAGTATTTGGACTGATTCTTCAGTGTGTCACGATGTCTGTTTTTAATCATGCACTCATTTGGTTACATGGACGCCTTTAAACTTCATACTAAATATTTTCAATCAAAAGCTCCTTTGGACTTTGAGTGGATTATATGTTCCTTTGTATTCATCCCCTCAGATGTGCCTTTTCTCATTAAGGCTAAAATTACAATTTGTTTCAATAATTTTCCTCCGTTCTAATGATTGTTTAGACAGCCGTTGGCCATATTCGCTCATTGGTTATGTAGACTTGTTATTTGATTTTAAAGAAATAACACGGTAATCTGGGTCGGCAAGTTTTTACTGTTATCTGTTTGATGGCTTTTCGCCCTCGTCACGTCATGGTTCAATTTTGATCTGAGTTTCGATCTGAATCCTTCGAACACCTTTCTTTTCCTTGCAGAAATTACAAGATTGGTTGCTTCTTCAACTCCAAAAATGGAAAGTTCAGTCCCAATTGGTGGAAGACCTGTGATTCCACTGGAGAGCAATCATCCTCTTGAACCGAAGAAGGCCTGTTGTTCTGGATTTTAACTACCTAACCTGTGTGTGCCTTTTACATGAATCGCCAATTTGATTTTAAGTCTGCTCGGCTGTGTTCCCTTTTCCTTCCCAACTTGTGTTCATATATTCCCTTCGAACTGCCCCTATAAAATCACACTGTGTGAATCCTTGGTATCATTCTTTCTACAAACTGAACTAAATATTGCCACTTTGGGGGTGGTCAGATATGCTTTTTTGATAATCTACTGGCTGAGATCACGGGTACTACTCTAGCCCCACCTTGCCTGTCATTTGTGTGCGGCCCAGGAGTAGGGTTGGTTCGTCCCCCATCGCAATGGTAATTCATTATCTCTGTTGGTCCCTTAGTGTTGTCACTAGTACATTTTTCATTCAGTTGGGAGGTTCATTTTGGGAAAAACAAATTAAACAATCTGAAAGGCCATTGCTCTAATCGTTGGTTGCTTGCTGCTTCACGCATTTACCATTATTGATGGCCATTGGCCTAGAAGCGTGTTGAAAGATGAGGAAGAATTTGCTTGTATATCCTGAATGAGGAACACTCTGAAGCCAGACAGTCAAGCATCTTTTAAATCCCACTTGAAACCAGCCTTTCAAGTGTTCTGTTCAAACTGCGGTTAGTTGCTTCTCGTCACCTTATAAATACCGAATTTACCCTTCCCCACACGAATACCACGCGAAGGCAACATTAAAAGCTGTTATTGAATTATGCATGCTTGGTTTAATCTCTGGTCGTGATGTAAGCAGTTGTTTGATGCATTTTCCGCAAGTGTGGGATCAAAACGTTTTGTTTTTTTAGCAGCTATAATGTTACACTGCATTTATATATGAAGGTGTTTCCTGGGCGCAGCAAGAATGGTCAAGATAGATACCCAAAAGCAAAGAAATATGCAATGTGTGCAACGTCGCGTTTGAAGCTCGGAGGATCGTGGAAGCTATAGCAAAAAATTCATGCCACCTTGACCTATATTGTGCGTCGGTATCAACACTTGCACGGTTGTCGGCACAACAGTTTTTTAGTGATTGAAAAACACGAAGGAGCCAAGGGCGATTTCGTCCCCAATGACCAACTTGTGAACTCCGACCGATTCTTCTCCTAGTCGTTCAGCGCAGCGATCTTTTGCTCTTTCGGTACTCCACTCAGAGAGAAATGATTCCCTTCAAATTAGTTATGGTATTTTTACCTACTTTTTTTAAAACCAGATAGGCTTTATTAAAGGTTTAAACTAGATGCGAACTCCTACCTTCGATATCACATGAGGCTTTTATTTACGTGGCGGTTGTGCCTACGCCCCTCTATTTACAGTTTTGAAATCTACAAAACACGTTCTAAGTCACGCTCATCAGAGTATAGGGCCTTTTTCCATCGAAATGCTTTTTAATGCTAAGCACAAAGAAATGGCAGCCTATGACAACTCGCGTTTCATATTTCAGGGGCTAATGGCATGCACGTGAATCATGAAAATTTAACCACTGTGTTAGTCTTCTCTTGAGGGTCCCGATCGCACTCAGAAATGTAGCGAACAGTGAAGGGTCAGCCCATGGTTGCTGGTGGGGTGACATACCTCAAGTACTTTGGGCAGTCAGCTTAGAGATCCGCGAATTTGTGCCTAGCCACGTTCATGAGTAACTCAAACGTTGCTACAACCGGTAAAGTTTTAACTTACGATTTTGACAGTTCAGTAAATGGTGTCTGATAAATATATTTAAAATGACACAGTTAAATGGATAATTATTTTCTTCACTGAACTGTTTAAGATCTAGCGATTTACAGGTAACCGTGATGCAGCATATTTGGCGCTTAACTATGTAAATGGCAAATTTGTTGCATTGTGCAAAAGCGATGAGGAGATCTTCTTATTCTTATAACTTCCGTAAGTGCGTATGTAGAGTTAGTATTTCTGGCGCAACATAAGTCTGATCATTACCATTCAGGTTTCTCAATGTTAAAAAGATAAGGGCTAAAACCACAATATGTTAGTAGAAACACGACAGACGAGGTGAGTGACACTGCGAATCAGCAAGAGCAATCGCCGAATTGGTAAAATACTTTACTTTTATTCAAAAGTCACAAAGTCAAATCACCGAATTTCACCTTCATTAATAAAAACAGCAACGCTCAAAATGGGTCGATTTGGATTGTTGACATCTTACAATTGATCTGTCGATATACTCGATCCCCTTTAAAAATCTCCTTGCTTTAGGCAGCTAATTCCCTCATTTGGTCGGGCAGATAAGTCAAGGTTAGCACTTTTAAATTGTCTAAATCAAAAAGTCCATCTTTGTTCACCCTGGTACTAGTTAGAATTCCCAATTCCAATACGATAGCAGACGTGGTTCCCTGTTTTGTGACAATGCTGCAGGCGCACGCCCAAATGGATCCCATACATTAGCGCATATCTCACTTTTTGACTCGGTGAGTGCTTTGGCATTGAGAATTAAAGCCAGCGCTTTTGTTCAACAATCACGTATCATAGCATTTTCTCGAAATTTGGAAACTGTCCTCTCAACTGAGTGGATTGTGTTGTCTTCTGGAAATATAAAGCAATTTCAAACTATATTAATGAGCAACATGTTTATTTGCACAATTCATAACCATTTTGCGCCATATGTAATAGTTAATAGAGTACCTAGACATATGTATTCCTTCTCATTCCCTTGTAAGCCCACCAAAGTTGTGAATCAAACTTTCGCGTGTTCTGACACTGTGGAATATCTGCACAGGTTCGGCTCTTAGGTAATGCCCTAAACCTACTTCAGGGAATGAGATTTTACTCGATATTTCTTTAAGCTACCTGCGCAAAATAAGCGCTTTCATTATTTCTAGGATAAATTGCTATTCCTCAATTGATACTTCGAAAATCGAGATTACAGATGGACAATATGCGAAATAATTGCTTGCACCCACACTCTGGGACATAAGATGCATGCAAGTAAGAAAACGCACAACTTCATTGGCAGGAAATGATATCTTAGTTGGCTGCGACTCGTGGGAACGGTCAGGAAGGGAGCAAATTGAACATGAAGCACTCGCAGTCACGAAAATCCACCAAGCGCATAGCCACTACACAACAGGTTGGCATAGTGACATGGGCGTTGACCTAATCTTGCAAGAAACAGCACATACGGTGGGCAGTCGAAAACTCCTTAATTCGGGAAACAAAACTAACAAAACTGCGAAATTCTGAGTCACAGCAGTCTCCAGTTGTAGAGTCATACTTGAGCCTTCGTTGGTGTCCCTCACAGGAGATTGTCAAGTTAATTGTAACATTTATTTCTCTCACTCTATTAACACGCTTTTTAATAATTTTTAATTCCCGGAAAAGTTCAAGTGATTTACGAAAAAATTTCCCGTTTTTAAGGCCTTTGAACTACGTTGTAGGTGTTTAATTTTCATTAAAAAAAAATGAAAAAAAACAAGCGGTGTTAAGGTGAAATCCTCAACACTCCTTCCTTAACTCGGTTTCTGCTACAAACTTAATAGCTTTTTACGCGTATTTAGATAAAAATCGATTACCCATAAAGTTTCTGCAACTTTGAGCTGTTTCCTGATAAAATCTTTCAAAAGAAATGATAGAAATATTTTATGACCATTATTGGTTGTATTAATTGCTGTGGTCTTACAACTCATGGTCATGGACGTTGCCAGATTTTTTGAACTAATATACTAAAAATTCTTTATATCAACACTTGTGAGTCTTCCAAGTACAACTACATAACTAGAGAAGAACCTGTAAGAATGAAACTTATTTTACTGAATCTGAAATGCTTCGACAAACTACTCTACTTTGCAATAAACATAAAAATCTAACTTGCGTAACAAAGTTCAAGCTTTAGTACAAAACAAGGGAAGTCTAGCAATCTATGCTAATCAGAAACATTACAAAGATGGCCATGATGTAGTGAGTCTGTCATTCTTGGGCATCAGACTTTGTCATTACATCTAATTTTGCATTTGAATTTTGTTAGAGCTTACAGAAAATTTTGCAAAGTACAGTTCCTTTGATATCAAAGCTGACCATGTGCAGATTTTGTAGCTAGCATTTTCCCAAAAATGTTACGAGGGTATTTATCTGCAGCCTCGCAGATTACCAGGCTTAACGTTTTTATTTTTAACCATCTAACTGGTTCGGAGTTGATCACATAATTCTGGGCGAATGTTCTGCCATTTTAACTGTCCGGATCTAAGGGTCTGTGCCGTCTGCAGGATGGGTGGACATAACTTTCTACGGTTCGCTAAAGGATCTTCAAACAGTTGCTTTAAAATACTAAAGTATAACATAATCTCATTTGTCTTATTAGTTTTTCTCAGATAACTAGAATGACCAGATTTTCAGCCAACAGTTCACTAAAGGGATAGAGGCCACACAAGTCTTAGTTGTTATTTTGTCAAGGCACAACTGTGATCGCGAATACAATGACTCATCCTCAAGGCGATTAATGGTTCACATTCGTGTTGTTAAGATTTGTAGTACTTCAGCATACTTTCCAAAGCGACAGAGCACACTGTTCAACCTCAATTCTAGGTGCGATTAGATGAAGCGAAGGAGCTCACTTCGTGGGTTTGCAAGTACATAATTGAGCACCGTCAGGAATGCAAGCTGCTAAAAGCTAATTAATGCATACCGATGCATGAAATATTTGTGTCCATGAGGGATTGTTAGGAGGTTTAGTGAGGTGCACATCCGTGTGGCTGCTAGAGCCAGACTATACCGGTTTAAATGCTGCTCAGTGATTTACAAGAATGAGGCAAACTTCTAAATTGCTCTCAGTTCGTGTTACTTGTGAGATTTGTACGTGAACAGCAAAACGTTTCGCAGACAAATTAATTCCAAGGGTTTCACTATGCTGCATTCCTTGGAATACTAACAGCAATGACCATGGTGGCAAAAGTAGGAATTGCTTATCAGTAATATAAGTTTTGTTTAAATCAAGTTGATGGCGATGACCATCAAGAAAGAACTGATCATGTAAAAAATTAAAGATTTAACTGACAAAACCCTAGTTTTTTTAGCCATGATTGCACATGGCCGCTTACAGGCCTTAATCGCATCCCAAATCCAAAGATATCAAATCGTTATTGGGAATCATATTACAATTAACCTGTCCCATCGAACGATAGCTTGGACTTTAATCTTAGGTTACTTAATGTGCGTACTTATGGTCACGTCAATAAACCTAGGGAGAGATATGTTAGTATATGTATAATTCTGCTTTAAAGGAATTGCTATGGCCTCGTTATTAGGTTACAATAAAGCAGTCGCCGTAACCATGCGTGTTGGCAAGAGCAAGATTTGTGTGATCGTGAGTGAGTGTGTGAGCATGTGTGAGGTAGGCTTAGCTCATCAATAACTCAATTACATGCAATTCGTGATAATAATCAACTACCCACATTTAATTCCCGTGGATATATAGTGCAACCGTCTAAAGGCAGCCACTGTTATTTGAACTGTTTTTAGGGAAATGTGGGCAGTTTTCTCAGGTTAAACTGGCAATGACAATAAGGCATTTATGTTAGAGTAAGTTGAATCGTAATTATAAGCAAATACTTCTGCCTGTATTTTTGAGAACTCAAACGCTTTGGACGTAAGTGTTACCGACCATCAAACCAACACTTGCTCCCGTTTCATACTCCGATTTTTCGGGAATCAGTAAAAGAAGTAACTTAATGTATTAACACAATCAAAACGTTACACTCTGATTTAAAATTACATCCAAGTCCATGACATGCGTTTACTTTCAGAAAGCATGAGAAAATAAAAACACACTCACACGAAAATAAAATTTTATTTGTTTTGCTACAGAGGAAGTTTGTGATAGATGCTGACAACGGTAGATCCTGAGAGGTTAAAAAGAAAAGTCCACCGGCGATTGTACTGTGGTTTGTGGCCGTACATCCCGTCAGGTAAATTAGATGTGAATTGTATTGCTAAATCTAACACAAACTTAAAAGCTGAGGACAAGAAAATACCGGAGGTCAGGCATGGAATGCACGGAATGGAATTTGGGAAAATGACATGAAAATTTTGACCCCTGAAGAAACTGAGTGATGGCATAGAGCGCAATTCATGTAAGTCAATAAAACTTGCAGTGTGGGTGTGACAAAAATGCTAAACTCAAATTCAACAAATAGGCGAAACATAATATTAGCGTTTGCATAATTGATAAAAAATTATAAACTTACCAACAAGTGCATTAAGAACGCGCGGGACGTTCACAGCTATGGTAAAAAGGTTATACATTTGCTGGATGAATGTTATTAGGGCTTGCAAATAAGAAAAAGATCTGAGTTTTAGTTGTGACCCTTTGTCCTTATCCAGAATTATAAGGAACGGAAACCAGTCACACTCTACTTTTCTTATAATAGCTTAGAGCAATATTACTATTATGATATCATATATTTAGAACATTTCTTTTGCTTATCCAACTAAATTGATGTTGTATTTAGTAGTATCCCATCGAATTTATGGTTCACTTGAGGTATTTTTTCCAACAACTTGGATAAAAGATATCTTTATGAAATTATTGACTCTAGATATGAAGGTATATTTGAAATCGAACCGTCCTAAAAGCACTGAGGCAAACCTTTGTGACCCATGAAGTTGTGCAATAGCGTGCTTCATTAGGAATCACTTTTTTCTGACAAATGTCAAGAATTGTTTGAAATGAGACCATTGTTCAGAAACAAATAGTGGCGGTTTTTAACTAAAAAAGGAGCAAACACCGACCTATTTAACAATATTGCCCTATTTTAAGAGTGCATATTTTCAAACTGGGAGTCTGACATTGATCTTGTTTACTTAAAAAATGGTGCATCAGAGCAGTTGATCACTTTGATGTTTTAGTTCCTAAGCAAAGGCAACTGTAAGAGTTAAATATAAGTGCAATGAAACTTGCATATTGCTTCACTGTATAGCGCGCCATTCGAGACCAACGCACGCCAGTGTGACCACATCAGTGTCCTCCATTTCCTTATTGCCATCCCGCCTTCCTCAAGGCAAGTTAGTGGGCCTAAGGGCAAGTCCAACCCTTCCTACAACCGTCCGTTTCTCATCTCCACTATAGCTCTCATTCAAAGCTCTCTACACTTGCATACTAGAGCCTGAAACACATTTGGTTCCGTCTACTAGTTTTTTTTTGTATGGCTTGTAGCGACCCCTTATGATGTGGCTATCTAAAAGTGACGAGCTGACAGTAAACTACCCATTTGGGCCCCCGCTTGGTAAACGCATTTTGCACTGGTCGAGCGGAGCTCAGAATAAACAAAAAATGGTAGGTACTTGCTGCCCACATACTTTTGCATTCGTTTATAGTATGATGCTTATAGACACAACGTTTTTAATTAAGGAAACATAAATGAGTAGTAGAAATTTCTAGACCGTCTTCTGTTTTATTGACGCCTCACGTTGAAATCCAATTGTGCGCATCAAAGCTTCATAAGGATAAAAGCGTTTGCGATTGGTAAGAACCTGCCATTTGGAATAAAGTTTACAGATTTCAGTACCAATATGATATTACTCACGTTATGCAGAGCAAACTTATGCCAAATTATCCACACAAAAATGTTAAAGGCAACTGTCTGAGTTTGTATAAGAATATGCGCCTCTATTTGTTGGCGTGTCACATTTAACAGCTCAATTAATTTCATACATTAAACATGATGATAAGGGAATAGAGTCATATTGCTGGAATAAAAAAATAAAATTTATTTGGGAACCTAACAAACTGATTTTATTTTACTCATTAAAAATAATTCCTTCAAATTTTTCGAAATCTTCTCACTAAAAATAAAATCCGTTTAACGTCGTAGAAAGTAGGCAACATTGTTTTGCAAAAATTAAAAAAATATAGGGTAAACAAGAACGCAAGTATCCTAGTCCTAAAAAAATTTCATGGCTTTTCCGCATTTGGTATTCCTATTTATCGAACCACCTCGCTTCTGATTCAGGGCGAATTCATAATAATAGAATAATCCATGCAAAAGTGCGTAACAATGATATTTGATTTTTAGTGCTAATGCACACCTGCCAATAAAACGACAAAAGCCCCTAAAATATCCAAATTAGACTTAGAAGATTCTACAGAACTATTTCAAATATTTATTTCTGTATTTTCAAATTAGACTCTCGCAATTGAAGCAATGGATACGTAATTAGGACAATAAAAGTGGGATGATTTTTTGCATATCACAACTATTATTATTGAAGTAGGCACAACATAACGCTTCTGCAACTACCGTGGCTATAAGAACTTAAGTGGACATTTTCATTAATGTCAATTGTTTTGATGCTGAAAATTATGTACATTAAGAGATGATCACAATAAGCTTTAATTTCTTATATTTTAAGCGTTACTATTTCACTGGTAAATTTTTAACAGAAATTTTACATTTTTAAATTGTAAAAATTGCAAATGCGAAATCATATATCAATCAGGCAGAAGCACTCAGAAACATCTGAAGGTCAATCCGCGTGGCGTGCTGTTTGAATTGCAGCAGCGCGCTGTTAGAAGTAAATTTTTCACGGTTTTATCGCAATGACTGGAAAGCCTCACAGTAATACCAATCCTCGAAAATTCAAAGAAAAAATTGAGCTTCTAAAGCAAAAAGAAGCCCAGCTTACGGCCAATTTCATGGAAGTTATGCGAGGGATTCCTACGCTAACTAGAGTACGTCCACTCTCGTTTGTCAATATTTCAGACTGTGGCCCCCTATTCCGACTATTCTAGCAAAGAAATTGTCCAACTGGACAACTTTTCGTCATCTTCTGGAGCACTAGTGGGTTCTTTAAAGTCGATCGGGTCGACTCAGGGGAGACAAAATTCCAGGAACTCCCAATACTCTATGGAATCAATTACTGAGAGAGTGAGGAACTGATTTTATATCAGCCTGATTCACATAATGCTAAGTCTTAAATATTGACGTTTTTCGGTGCCAGGAAGTATTCGCCTTTACTTTAATTTGCTGCCGCAGATAATCCCGTATTGATTTTGAAGTTAATACTTTGTCCTTAAATGAAGTCATTGATTTCCTTAGCAAACGCTGCACAGCATTTCAAAGCGTTGCGTAGGTGGTTTATGCATTATTGGGCACTCCTCACTTTCTTGTTGTCGTTATTTTTAAGAGAAGGTTATTCTCGTTGATTTCGTCATCGTTTAGTGGAATCTTTAGTCTAAATTTTTTTTAATTGAACCTTGTCACTTAAGTCTTGTTTAACAGTATTTAATCTTGAAGATACATCGCGCAATCCGCAATGTCTTTGACTTTTTAGTGACTATCATTCATAGAATATTCATCCTTATGACCTGTTTCTATCACAAAACGCCTTTGAAGACTTGTTTTTTAACTAGATTGATATTTTTATCAATTTTGGTGGCAATTTCTGTCTTTTCCATTTGAAAGCTCATCATTAATCAGGTAATTGTCTATTGGACTTTATCATTTAATTTTTGTCTTCAAAGTTAATTTCAATCACGTTTCTTGTACCGACGGATGATCAACCATACCTAGGCAAATTTTTTCTTAGGTTAACTTCTGGAGTTTCCTGTCACTTTTTTATTTGATAGTGCTTAATTTTGTCCCTCCAAGTAATTCCTTTCGGCCCATCGATTTGTTTCCTCGACACGCTACGTCTGTGTGTCTAGCCAACAATCGCGTTGGAGAGGGAATTCGCGCACACGTGTTTGTGCGTGTTTGCATGTGCAGGCGTCTAGCGGACAGACAGACGTACGTATACACACACGCACTCAGTTATATGTGCGTACATATCCATAAAAACCAAGCCTTTCATGTGCATTCAAGATTTCGATGCTGAGTGCGCGCTCACACTGACGTTTGTGTGCGCATGAACGCGGTAGACACAGCAGGCTAGATAAATTGGAACCATCGATTTCGCAATCTTGTTTCCCGTTCCTAAACCACCATCGTGTGTAGGTGTTTCGGTAGCGACGTTCTATTTATACAGCTTAAATCAGTTGAATTTATTGCTTCGCCAAACTCGCTCCATTATGTTGTGTTAAGTCTTCACAATTTCTAATCTATTTCCGTTTGCCTTGCAAGTAGTGTACTGGGCACTTACTTCACTTGTGTAAAAACGGTGCGTTTTGTTAATTTCATTTGGTGATATCGACTCGCTTCTCTAGCTTGGTATGGGTAACGTCGATTAAAGCAGTGTTGATATGTTGACCAAATTTGATGCTTCTTCAGTTCTCACGGCAATCTTGCTTGTTAATTATGGCGGGAATAATATCATTATTCACACATTCAAATAAATTGTAGTAATCGTTTTGGTTAAGTCCGTGGGATACAGTAAATCGTGAAATACAGAGTGGGCGTGTGCTTTTGGCACCTTCGACGTCTCTTAGAAGTGTTATTTGATCGAAGCGCTTTGCTGTCTGTCCTAGTCGACGAAGAGTTTAAGAACTGCGTCGTATAACCTAGCTTTAGTTGGTCGCTTTTATGCTTACATATTACTGTTTGCTGCTATACGACTTGAAATTTCACCACACAAGCAATAGGGCTAGAGTTAAGGGTGAATATTCGTCACCAAGGTAGGTGTAATCTCTTTGAAGAAGCTTTTGTGCAATTCTTCTCATATAACCCACCAAATAGATTTTGCCTAAACGGCATTTTCATCAAAGTCCCCTATGCCTTAACGTGCTAGTGCTGTGCTTCTTGTGATGCCTTTCGTGTATACGTTTGTGTTTTTCTGTAAAACGAAAGCGAGATTTTGGACTGAAATATTCCAGGAACATGTTTCACCACCGATTTAAGGCGGGAATGGAGATTTTTGTTAAATCTCAAGAAATAAAGTCACCCCACTGTTCGAGTTTTCACCTTCAAAATACCTCGTCGTAGTTATTCACGGGACTGGCCTACACCTTACCCTAGGCACTTTCATGAAGCTTGAAGGTGGTCTTGTAGAAATCTGTTATTCTCGTTGTTCTCACGCGGTTGAAGAAAACTTAAACCGATAAATTCAAAATTACGCAAACTAGCCTGTTTTTCATGAAATGTTGGCCGACGTTGTGCTCTAGCCTACTTGTCGTTGATATGCTTTCAACTTCTCTTGTATCACTTAAACCAATCTTTTGTCTACAAGATTGATGTTAATACATTCCTGTCGTGCTAAAAGAAATAGTCTTCGTGTCAGTGTTTCATGTGCTCACCTGCCTTGCTGAATCCACCCATCTTTGTGAGTGTTCTCAAAGCGATCTGGTGAATTTTTCTAGTCTGCGTTCAGCGGTCACCCGTCAGAAGCAGCACACCAAGAGTGACGTTTTTGTCTCGCAATGATTTCACACTTGCTAACCCGACGGTCGAGAGTTCTCCTATACGAGTACATGTTACGTTCCCATTGTGTTTCGCATATTAGCCCCTTAGCGTGATTCCATAACAAAGCATGATCGTAATTTGGCATTACTGTCATCAACGGTCGTCTGGTAACGCAGAGTTTTTGGAACAAACCTCCTGGTGTTGGCTAGTAAGATTTCCAAAACTCAACGTTAGAAGTTGGCTAGATAAACAAAGGAGGGTGTGTGTGGCTGCTTTGGTTTGGAAGAAGCGCACTGCTCACGCTTTACTCGAAGCCGAACCCGTACTCCTTCAGGTGCATTTTGCTTGTCCGCATTTCCAATTGGTCCAGGTTGTATACACGTCACGCACACATGGCTAATCCAACTTTGGTGTCGTTAGTTTCACGGGTTTGTGTATTTACAGTGACCAAGGCATCAGTGGTTTTACAGAATAGTCAGTATTTCGCCTCTGCAAGTAATTGTTTTGACTTGAGCATTTGCCGTCCTACTTCGCGTTTATTATGGGAGCAGGCGCTGTAGTCGTGGTTATTTGTGGGGGTACAGTGAACATGGGAAGGCAGAAGACCACGTGCTTTATTTACGTGATTGACATTTGCATTTAACTATCGTCTTAACGTGATTTACCATTGCGCTTTTGACTGTATGCATGGGCGTTGTCTTGCTCATTTTCAATAATTTATAACTTACAATTCGTTAAGTAGCTGAAATCCATTTTCCAGACATCCAACAAAATTGGTTTCTGGCCAATTTACGTTGCCGCTCTTCCCTTAAGGCTGGAATAGGTAAAATTCGAGAGACTGCTCCGCAAAACCGACGCAAAGATTAGCTGTTATTTCGCAGGACGTTAGTTTGCACCGTCGAGCCCTGCATCGTGTTCGACCGCTTGGCTTGTGTCTGTGCGCACGCGTTTCACGAAACTGGCTCAAGTCAGTTAACAAATATTCCTTCGAGCCTTCACCAAGAGGCTTCGCAATTACCTCCGTCACTGACATCACTGACCATTCGGTTTTGCATTTATTTTTGGTCTTCTCAACTCTACAGTCCAGGTCTCTGGAGCCGCCTCGAATATTTGATTAAATAATGCAAAACCTCACACTGTCTTAGCTTGGGTTGGGATTCTCCAAGACTGTTGCGTGCTTCCTCCATTCCGCATTTTGCCAGGGCCAGTATTTACGCCTTCTAGGTATTTCTAGTAAAATTGCTATTCCTTCTTGTGGCGCGTTTTTCAGCCGTGAACAGAGTTGTGACTCGAGGCAGTTCACGTAGGCGGAGCTGTTGCAATGCATCGAATTTCCCACGTACTTTCATCGTGAGGCTCCATGCCTTATCGTTTTTGTTGTTGCTGTTGTTCCGTTGACACAGAGCATGTAGGTGCAGGTTTTTGATCGCGGCAGTTTTTAGGATCGAATTGCGAGTTTGAATTGGGCTTATCCTTTTGGGGGGGGGGGGGACTGTGACCCATTTTCCTATATGGGAAAATGGTCATTCTTTGTCCAAGGAATGCACCCTTACTGTCGCCGTGTTGTTATACACCGCAGTACTCCGCCTAACTTTAATTTTGTGTGAATTATTTTTGCCACAAATCATACCTTTGAATGTGCATTGTGTTGCGAAGATATTTCATATCGGAATGAAAACATGAGCACCCATACTTGACGCAAGAGCCTCTTCAATATCCTTGATCAATTCTCAATATTCGCACACAAAGATCTATTTAGTTGGGGGTTGTTGCACGTCCAGGCGACGCAAGACTGGACCCCGGCGTTGGCAAAAACGCCGTATGGCTTAGGTAGGCTTAAATGCACGCTTAAAGTGTGCATGACGGGTAAGTTTGTATATTTAATGCCACACAAGCGTGATGACAGCGGCTCGTGTCGTTGTTATGGTTGACTGCCAAGCCTTTTCCTCCACCTGGCAGATTTTTTGACTAAGGATGTATGTCGCAACCGAGCCCTCGTGTTTGCTGTCATGTGACTTAAACCTTCGCCTTACTTACTTACTCGTAGCCGGGCTGCAATGTGCACAGCAGTGGCGGCGGCGGCGGTGGCGGGATGTCTCAGGCCGCCAGCAAAATCACTCCACCGCCACCACAGCGACGGAAAGTCGGTAACAAGGCAGCACCTAGCCTACCGCACCCCGACTCCGGATTCGTTGTCTACACCGCCGGCTCTGGTGATAGAGGCGACAATGGGTAAGTATTCAGCGAATGCTGGTTTTTCACCCCAAGCCCTCAATCTGCTTGTCAAGTGGGATTATGGATGGCTGTCCTAAAGTGGTGGTGGGAACGTTTGTGTGGATGATTCAAAGTTGCAATTTCATCTTTTTAGACTTTTGTCCCATTTATCTCCGTTGAGCGGAAGCGGTGGGATTAGCACGACACAGGCATCACCCTCAGCCTACCAGCCCAATCTCGCTCCCGTGTCAATACCCACGAGCTCCGTTTCTCCTCCCTCTCCCCTCACGTCCTGTTCTTCCACCAGCAACCCGCAGTACTACGGTGAATTGCCCACTACGAGCCAGAGCAAGGTGTCGCCACTGGGCATCACGCCGTCCGCCGCACTCGCTTGTCGCCGCCGCGTGCCACCACCGGCGTACCCTCAGGCCCCACCGCCGCAGTATCTGATGCGGGGCTTCGCAAACGCGCCCTCGCAGTCAACCTGGGGCGTCTCCTCCGTCGGAAGTGCTGGTTTCAGTTGCGCCGGCCAGCCTGGCGTCGTGCAGGGCGCTAGAGAGGTCAGCGCCACGATGCTGGGTGGAATGAGTCTCGCCGACTATCGAAGGTGAGCCAGCATTCACTGCCACTGCACTTCCAGGCGTGGTGGTCGCATTTTCCTTCCTGGGTAATAGTCCAGTGTAGGAACATTGGCCGTTGCTGGAGTTTGTACTTTTCCAATGATTTCGTCTGTGTCTTACGTAAACATGGCAGTCTTGTAGTTCATGCAAAAGCGCAGAAGCTGACTCGGTTATTTGCTACGATTTGGGAGATCTTTTATTCAACCCTTAAATCCAAATAAACACTTACACCATACTTGGAGGCTTCCAATTTTCTGCATTGGGATCTGTGATTCCGTTTTCCATTAGCCGCAGCAAGCGGACCAGCCACCCAAATCCCCTCACCTCTGAACGGCGACTTGCCGTAGTCCATCCGATGGGGTTTGAGGCGGCTGACAAGCGGCGTCCCGATTTGTCACTGAGCCATCGGATTTCCTCGTTGTGTTTGGCACTCGTTCTGGCCGAGTCCAGCGACCAGTTGTTTCAGATTTCCACTTGTATTGAGTGTAGTGATACCCCCTTTGAGGGGAGTCACTTGCACAATGGCAACACGATCAAAAGCGTCTACATAAGTCAGGAATTTGGAGACCGTTCTGGATTTCGCTCCAGATGACGTAGTTCCCAGTTGTTTGCTAGTTGTACCAGTGTTTAGATGTTAAATGCGTTGTCCTATTAATTATTGAATGCAATCTCACAGCTCCATGTGGAACGTTAGCAGACTTGTCGTGACAAGCTCTGAGAGCCGCAACCGTTTTGTAGGACTTGCTATTACAATGCCTCGACTTTATCAACCTCCCGGATATAACAACTAACGTTTGGTGTTGTGAGTCGTGAAGGAGCTCCGTTTGACCTTCCTGTGCTCAAACTAATAGGTCGAGATAAAGTTTCGCTTTTATTTGTATCCCCACTCCATATACTTTTGTCTCATCGTTTTTCGTGATCTACCCTGCAACGCCCTAATTAATTGAGTTCATTTGCTCCCCTAACTCTCCTCCTTAACACCTCTGCTGTCGGGTCATTTGGTTGGGAAGGTTTTTATTCCGTCTATCCTGCAGTTTGTTCCTAATATGTATGCTTTTGTAAATCCTTGCGTACACGAAATTGCAATTTGGTGGCACTAGTATCACTAGTTCGATTCCTAATTGTTGAATTCCCCCACCTAAGTCGAAGTAGGCACGCACACGCACACCTTGGTAGGTGCGATTTGGTTTTGTGTTTGTCTTGATTTTGTAGGACAGCCTCCGACTCATGTATCCCTAACATCTTCCTTGACCAGGGACAGCCGCCCTCGCACTTGAGGCGGATTCCCCCAGGTCAAGAGCCGCACCAGCGCCAGCCGACTGCTCTCCCTCCCGTCAACGAACTTACCTCACCGCGCTATTGTAACCCGGTGCCCCCACCAGCAGCAAGCTTGTACCCCAACCACTCTGGTTACCCCAACGGTGGACTCACGTCACGATGTCGCCACCAGTCCTCCACGACCGCCTCGCAGCCCACAATTGGGCCCCCGGTGCTCAAACGCCTCCCCAGTGATTACCAAAGCATGCGGAACATCTCTCAACGCTACGGGCCCTCTCCTCCTCTTCCGCCGCCTCCGCCTCCCCCACCTCTGACGCTCCAGCATTCGTCGACTGCTTACAGCACTGGAGTAATGCCACCACAACAATACCAAATGCCTTCTACAATGCGTAGTTGGACGCTTAATGGGGATGCTGGTGAGGAGTCGTTGTCTGCCTGCGCCTTGCCAACATCCTCGCGTCTGAAAAGGTGTGTTTTGTTTGTTGGTTAGCATGTGTTTGACACTTTTGCGACCACGTAATCTGGCATGGCGGTACCCTGTCAAGATGGCTGTCTCGGCAGGAACGGTGAGGCGAAATGCTGTGCCAACTCCCAAGTTCGATCCCGCGCGCTCCTAGCTTTAAGCTGTTTAGCGATCAAATCTTCTGTGTCATTTTTGCACCATTGACTCATCGATTGTCCTAACCAATCATGGTTAGGACACGTTAGCTCAGTTGAATTGTGGAATGAGTTGCTAGTGGGAATATTTGCATGTCCTGGATGGCGCTCTTGAGCAATGTGAGGTCCTTATATAAACCCCGCGACCTTTTTACCACTTTCCACATAAAGACTGTACGCGCCGTTTCGCGGGTACTTTTCTGCGTTTGCCTCAAGTACAGCGGCGTTTCCATTGTCTAATGTGACACGACCTTACGATTAGCATGATTACAAAAACCTGACCCCCCCCGCCTTCCAATTTCGCAAAGCCAAAGGGAGATTCACCATCAACTTTTACCTAACTGGCTCAGCGTGAACAGAAGAACACTTCCATTTCCGCTGCTTTATTGATATCAGGAGAGGAAAGGGGACATTTTGTTTGTGTCAGTGTATGAGAATCAGTTTTGTTTTTCGCTGCTTTAATTACTTGCCGGAGACCACCAGATCTTTGCTGTATTCCAAATAGCTTTATTTACCTCTAGACAGAGCGCATTAGACTAACCACAAACAGGGCTGTTGATCCAAGTCGCATTTTTCACTATCACTGAAATTGTTCTACTGGAACACAGACTGCATCTCCTTTTTGGTTAATGGTTTTCAGAGCATAAACTGTTACACTGTTAGTAGTTGACCATTTTAATTTTATTCCATGAGGTTGGTAAGATTTAGGAGTGCCTTTCACTCATATCATTCGAATTTCTTGTTAGGACCATTCTACCCCAACTCCAGTGGTTGTGTTGTGTCTAACTTTGGTGTGTGTGTGTGGCGGCTGCTGGCTTTTTTCGGCTACTGACACTTCTAGAGGCTAGAAAAACGCCGAAAAGCACTCCATCGTGCCGGTGGGGTGCCCCTCGTCTCGTGCCTCGACGACCCCACTGTACTCCTCGAGTGAGCATTTTGGCCGACTAATCACTTACCTTACAATAATTCAGTGATTTTGGTGGCCATACGTAGTTGTCTTTGATGATGCCGTGCCTCATGCATATCATTTTTGCAAAGCATGAAGTTAACGGCAGGCTGTATTAGATTTCGATTATGAAGCTTCTGTTTACAAAGGTGCCAAAATTCGTAGTGCTGTTGGCTTTGGTTTTCGCCTGGTTTTGCCCACCAACTTGCGGCCCTCTTCGACGGGTACCAGTTCTGGCTTGAGTTACTGAAGGACTTACCTACGTTTTGGTCGTTTAAATTGATTACCTTTTTTACGTAGGCAAGTGTGGCTCTGAGTTTCCCCCGCCCTCGGTTTGTGTTCCGGGCCCCTATGCTCTAGCTGATTCCTTCAACTTATCAGCATTTTTATGATTCACCTAGCCGTCGTTTTCTCATCGGTTGTCTAATTCTTCACGAGAAAAAGTGTTAACAGATTAGCCTTCCGGCCCTCAGTAAGTACATTGATTGTTCTATGAATAAGTCAATGTAACACGCATAAAAAGGGGTTAAGCTCGACATCGCGTCTTATTCACTGGGTGAGACAATCGGTAGTCAGGTCCAGAGCCGCCGATGGGCATCGGGAAGGGGTCTAGAGCAGGAACACGGTAAACGCTACAACATCGTCGCCTTGTTGTTTCGTGTTAATCGGATAAACAGATCAAAAAGTGCCACTATTTCAAAGGTTGTCTTTAAAGTGGGTCACCAAAGTGCATCGCGCATCGCCTTCGGGCTTTGAAAAGCCATCGGCCCATCTAGGTGGTCCTGGCTCAGTGACGCCTGTGCAGAATCATCATCAGCTGCTGTTGTATGAAAAATATGCGTGTGTGTGTGTGTGTTTACGCACGCACCCAAGGTGGCACATGCGCGGCCTTAATGCGTTTCGCCGGAACGTGACAGCGTCCGCTCTGCATTCCGTCCCTTGATTTATTTCAAATTGCTTTTGTTAGTGTCTCGTGTATGCCCTAATAGTCTCTGTGTGATAAATTGTTATGAAATAAAGGGGCACAAATGGGCATCCTTTAGTGTAGGTATTCACCGTCGAACGACGACGTTCAAAGTCTGTGCTAGTAGCGATCTTGCCTCCTCATTTTCAGTGGTAACGTGAGGCAGCCCTTGAACCTAGGCGTAGAGTGTGGTATTCGATGTATGACACTAGGCAATAGGCGTTTGTTTGGTGGTAGTGTTTGGAGTTTCGCCAACTGCCTCTTGCTGTTCAATGCTTCGCCATTCCATGCACACACGGCTTGGAGTGGGCCGAAATTGCTACAGTCGACCGTTCTATCATATAAAACTGGTCTCCACGTAGCTTCTCACGAGTAAATGCACTGATATTTCCTCCAAACCTCGAGTGTTCTCGTATCAGAACCTGGTTGCTCTCTTGTCAACGTTGTTATGTCTGTGTTGGCTTGTGCGCACTGTTTTGTGAGACAAACAATTGCAAAAGTTAAACGTTTTTTTTTATTTTTACGTACGTGAATCTGGCATATTCACGTACCAACCAGTTTTAGTAATATTTAGCGGCAGCAGATTTATGAGCCCATCACAAACGGCCGTAGTTGCAATAAAGACTCGCGCGACGTAAATATCGTTGCCCTAGCAATTAACTGTTTGTTGATTCAGGATGCAGCAAAATGTCTTTGGAAGGCGGATGTTTAGTAATTAAACGCCTCAACGCTGTTAAAATTCACCTACAACCAGATTCGTTTACGGAAGGTAAAGTGTTGGGTGTTACTGTGTCTGTTATTTTGTAAAATTTCGCCAATTGTCGCCAAGGACATGTGTGTTGCACGTGGTTATAACATCAACGCCGACGTTCCTCATTACACGGGAATGACAAGCTCCGCATCTACGCGTTGTCTCGCTGTACCCACGGCGGCCACTCCTGTGCGTTAAATTCGTCCCCTCAATATGCCATGCCTTTCCGAGTTTTTGTAACCGAAACCTGTCAACAAGCCAAGTTGTGCAGCAGCGTTTGAGGTTATGCGGTTAAAAGCGGCTCAAAAGTTATTTTGTGAGGATATAAACGCACACACACACACACCGCAGCTTTAATTAAAGCTTAATGACAGGACCGCAGCTGGTCAGCGCGTGTACGAATAGAGTATCCACCCCGCCTTACAGCAATCTGTCGTCTCTTGCGTGGATGCCCGAACTGCTCATCCCCAGTGCATTCCATCAACGGAATTGGTGGAATCGAAGCAACAGAGCCAGCTCAGCTTTGAATGAATCGACGACTCGCCTCAGTTTCTGTAAGGTCTGCCACGTGGTGGTAGCTCGCTGCGTGGGAAGCCCAGTCTTATCGACGGGTTTATAGCTTGCGTGCGTGCGAGCGTGCGTGTGCGCGCGCGTGCGCACCCGCGTGTCGTGATCGCCAGCCTTCACGTCACGTGTCTGTCGCTCTGGTTATGATGTGTGTGCGTGCGTGCGTGTGCGTGCGCGCGCCTAACCCGCCACGCCACTACTTGGCTGAGAGCCTTCTTGCGTGTCCAAATTTTTGTTTTTTTTTATGCCTTGTGGACTTGTTGTGTTTCACCTGTTGAGTCGGTCGCGGTGGTTGATGAAGCCTGGCGTTTGCCGTTAGGCCGTGTAACCCCAATGCCCCCCCTGCGAGCGCGCCTTTACACCGTACCTTGTTTATTTCAGGCCAGACTCCTACACTCAATTCCGGCCAAAACTGGTAAGCATGTGGTTTTCTCCTTTCATTCTCTACCATTATTGAGGGGTTTGTATTTAAATGGGGTCACAAGTCCACCACAATAAGCAGTTGATTCAGACTTTAGTGATGGAACGCAGTTCGTGTTTTTTATCAGGAAAGATTCCACCATCATCCATACAATTTGTACTTGAATGAATTTCATCTCATAATGTCGCATTTTTGCTGGGATCATTCTAAAAACAATTTCCCACATCTGGCCTTGTAAAGAGCGAGGATGTTGAGCTGGCTCGCAGCAGAATTAAAGCCCGAGAACTTGCTGTGTGTCGATGTCCCGGCGCGTTTCCACACTGAGGCCCTGGACTGTTTACGGAGGCTGCTCACTAGCCACCCAAGTGATCCATTTTGGTGCGAGTGTAGAAAGCAAAGCACGTTAGTTTTGCCGACCCACGACGAATTAAGCATGCGCGCTAATTTTCCCATTCACCGCGGTGGTAAGCACAACTGAGTGGGGCTGTTGCGACAAGTAGCGCTGATCCCCAGACGCACGTGAAGCCATCGATTGGACGTGCCTACCTCCATCCCTCCCTCTTTTGGGGCTTCAACCGTCATGGTCAGTGCCGTTAAAATCTGTTGCTATGCTCAAATTATGGATTTATTGCGGGCCCCGGCATGTTGTCTAGGCCGATTACACTACCTACCCTGAGTGCCAGCGGAAATAAGAAGACCGGAGAGGACGAGGCACAACCGTTTACTAGACAGCTCAACCAAGCTGTGTTGTGTTGACTGATACGGGTGAGTGGACTAGTAAAAAACGCGTCTGAATGGTCACATGATCAGGGTGGGTGGAGGTGGTGGTGGTACATGCAGAGGGGTTAGTGAGCAGGCGGTCCCAGTGACTGACGGGCGCGCCGTGAAAAAGGGGGACGTGGGTATGAGGCTGCGACGACCGGGTTATTGGGCGTGAATCAGCACGATTCACTACAGCTCTCTCCCTTAACGAAAGGGAATGGACGAACCTTTTTCTCAAATAGCATCTTCTGAAGAGTAGATCGTAAATATTGTGTGGACGATTTGAGTCCTCAGAAAATAGGTGAACACGAGTGATAAAGAGAGGCGAACAATCGTCGTCGGATGGTGAAGGAAATGCTTGGCACCCATTGTTCGTTGTCAGAAGACGTTCGAGGTGATTTTGCTTCAGCAGTTACAACCTTTTCTTCCAGCGAGACATCTGAAAGGTTGATAGTAGTAAGACAGGCGGCGCGTGACGCCTGAGCGTTGGCGTCAGACAGCTGCGGCTTCACGACTTAGTTGAGATTCGAGAACGAAGCCGAGTATCGAGGTCATGGCGAGAGATGCCGCCTGAATACGGAAAACGGGAGTCGAACTACGAGGTCAGGATGGCTGGTTGTCGATGGGTGGTGTCTTCAGTGCCACCTCAGCGCACAAAAGCGGTTCGTCGAAGGCTGCCATCACGGAAATTGCTTATCGCGGGTTATATATGCAGTTCCCGGTATTTTAGTGTCAGTTGCAAACCGTGAAGAAACTTGGCTGTGGTATTTTTCTAGGACATATCCATTCACATTCATTCAACTCTTCGTCAAATTTTGCGTTGGCATCAGATCCAACATCGCTTTTAATAATATACATGCTCATGGCATGTAAGCGGCAAAATCCGACTAACGCAGCTGTTTACTCTAAGGGCCACAATGGAAAAGTCGGCTCAGCCAATCCCCACTCGTCCTTGTTGTCTCAAGGTCGTTTTCGGGATTCACAAATGGAAAAACACGGCAGCGTTTACGTACACGCACATCAACTTAGCCGCTGCTCCAGCCATTGTTTGTCTCAGTTGTAGGCCGGGTACCGCGTTCAAACATTGGGCGTACATCTGTTAATAGTCGCTCTCACATTTTGGTCGTTTTAAGCTGTGCCCGATTTTTTTCCTGCATCCACGGGGCCCGTCATTCTGCTGTGGTGGGGGCAAGTGCCCTCTGTTAGGGTGAGAGACTTGTATTCGTAATTATGCCTTGGGCCACAACGTACCCCCTTGCGATCCTACGACATGAGAAACCGGAATAGCTAAATAGGCTTCGGGTGTTGCTAATTCGAGAGGCATGTTGTAGTTTCCGTCAGAGACCGACTCGATGCCCAACTTCCCGCTGACATCGGCTCACGCGCCGCCGCCGCCGCCCCACACCGGCGCAGACACGCAGGTGGTCTACTCCAGCCACCCCGCGGCGCGGTGCGTGAACAGTCGCGCCTACTTCGACGCCTCCACGGCACCAGCCTCGGCCACGTCGGCGCCGCCCCCCCTCATTCCGGCCCCTCCGGAGTACTACCAGAGCCTCTCGGCCTCGCCGTTCTCTCACCCCCTCGAACCGCAGAACACCGCCGACATCGAAGCATTTCGTGAGTCTGGTGCTCTTACTTTCTCATCGTTATTGGTCTGCGTCTAGACGGGAGCACCGTGCAACCATTCGACTGTGCATCCAGGCGCGCCTAATGCGATATCGCGCGAGCTCAGTTGACGATTTCTGACATCACGTCTGCGAGCCAGTAGCCCATTCTCAACATTCCATTTTTATAGAATAGCGAACCCCGTCTGAGTACGAGTGATTTAATGTCTTGTCAAACGTCGTAGTAAATGTTTTGTCCGCGATCAGCTATCCTGATTTCCCAACTCACGGCAAGTGGGACAAGGCTGCGAACAAAGTAAGCACCATCACACCCACTCAACTAAATGATATTTGATCATTTCCTCTGAAATTCATTGTCCATGCCAGTACCACCGTTTAATCAATCCAAAAGCCAAGCCTCTATCTCCAAAAGAATTTGTCCATTTGGAGTAGTGTCGCAGAGGTTTCACTTAGCCGTTTCTAAATAACAGCCGAAGATCCACTCGTTTATGCGGATGAATTCTGTGGGACTGGCATTAATCGTGGGAATTGTTGCATTTCTTATCACGAATCCCAGCGAGAATATTTACGGCGCTCCCACTTCAAACGAGGCAAGATCCTACCTGCGATTCTTTCGGAGACCGTTTAATTTTACCGTTTTTGTCTTGAGGGCTTTGGTTTCAAAAAGCCGTGTCTACGTTTGATTAAAGATACTTTTTGTGGTTTATTTCCGGTATATAGCCCGTTTTCCTTCCTTGCTGGTGGGTTTTTTCGTTATTTAGCAATTAAATAACTACTAAATAACGTTAAGTAACTGTACAATTGCAAAACCACTTAGATATTTGAAGATCAGTCACCTGGTCTCAATGCAAAGTGCGTGGAGCACTACGAAGGTTCTTACGTATAAAACTAATCATAATTTTTTTTTACTGAAATTATAATTGCTCTCAGACAAGGGACCCAAAGACAATCACCTAATTTTTTTTATGTGTCCATTTTGGCTTGCAGCTTCACCCGAACAGGAGGGCCGACGGGACAGTTTCAGCATGGCCGTGGACCTTCTGTCTCGATTAGAAAAGCGTCCGGGAGACGGCTCTCCTCCGGCCTACAGCGTCGCCACGTGGCACGGCAGCAGTGGCGCCACCATCCTAACCTCACCCCCCAAGGCAGCGAAATTCGACGTCACCGCAGCCACCACCACCACCGCCGCCACCACAACCCCATTCTACCTCCCCATCGCAGCTAACGACCTCCAACTCCTCACGGAGCCCAGCATGGCCAACTACGTCACCGACGCAGCTACGGAGGACCAGCTCGTGCGCGAGCAGTACTCGCCCCTTGCGCCGCTCCCTCCCCGATGACGCGCCACCTCCTCCTCCCCGCCCCCCCCCGCCTCCGAAATCACGTTGTACATAGCCGCTCACTTCATTTTATATCCCACCGCGCCTGCACACATTCTACTTGTCCGTCCGTTCGCGTGACCGTCTGCGCTAATACTGCTGGCCTATAAATAGTTTTTTTATGGCCTAATACGTACCCAGGTGCAGACATTTGGTCCCACTTACGTCACCCAGGGGAGAGGACGGGAAATGCCGATGGTCACTTGTCCCCTTCATCCGCACTCGCGTCGATGTGGACCCAATAAAAGCACCTCACTGAAGCGCCAAGCTACTGATTGACCTGCTCACGACGTCTAGCGTTCAGGGCTTGGCCGTTTATACGTCGTTTGCCCTATTGCCTATCGAGCGGTTTCGTTAAGTCATACGGATACTCAGGAAACAGACGCTTCGGTTTGGCCTTAGTGGGTGTCACAAATGGCAGTTGACGCGTGTTGCGGCGTCTGCGTTGCCCTCCCTCTCGCGACATCCTCTTGTGTCGACGCCGACTAATGGTGCATTAGAATTTGAGTTACAAAAACGCGATTGACGCAAATTATGGCGCGTTCCCGAACAACTTAATTATTGAATTTGTTCTTACACTTGTTGTGGGCCCCAGTATGTGGTCTTGAACCACGCCGGGGCGACGGAATTAACCCTGGCCCGATCACGTTTCCCTGATACCCGGATGAAGAAAAAGAGCGGAGAGGACGTGGACACAACCGTTTATTTCAGAGCGCCACCACGTTGGTGTCGTTGTGTCGTGTGTGGGGTTTGTGCTTGTGTATTTATACTTTGGATGTGTGAATCATGCGTGGGCTAACATCGAGACCTATGTGTGAGGATAACCCAGGATAAATGTTCATGCTAGTGAGGGGAGTGTTGAGGATTCGCGCGGCTGGCGACATGCTGCGAAAAGGGGAACCCTGTGTCGGAGGTGGAGCTACCGGATTAAGGGGCGTGAATAAACACGATTCACAACGCACACAATTACCGTGTTTTTAAATTAGGTGCCAGCGGTAGAGGCACGTGAGTGAGGCAAGCACATTCTGCTCTTTCGTGATGCCGTTGCGTGGGGACTCGCCGATTTTCTTGTTCCGGATGTGCTTCTGTTGTGCGTGCGTGCGAGTGTGTGTGCGCGTGTGACCTTGGCCCGTCGGGGTTGTGTGCTTTAAACACGTGACGAGTGCGACTTGAGGCCAGATGCATGTGTTCAGGCACTGGTAAAGAAACGTCCCAAGTATGGGCCACTTTTATGTGACTCAAACTAACGCTCTTCTACAGAGATAAGTGGACCTTAAACTTAATTCTCTGATGCCTAGCCGCCATCTCTCACGCTTCGCCTGCGATGACTAACCGTCCATAGGCATCCGTACATTGCATTACTTGCTTCCATTTTGACTGGTGCTGATTGCTGACATTCCACTACACAAACACCGAGAGCTGTCTCTGTATTGGCTACTATAACTGCAGGCATTGTGCGTGCCTATTGGCCAGTTTAACCTGTTAGAAGTGGGGTGGTGTGCTGTAGGTGTACATTTGTCGTGGAGCTTTAAATGCTACAAATTTCGACGAAAGCGAATTGAAGGAACGAACGGATAGGATGTCTGAGACTTGGACTAAATCGTATTTAACAGGCTGCGTGCCTTCAATTAAGCGGTTAGATCTTGTGCAAAAATTAGTAGTATTTTGGAAACAGGTGAATAGAGTTAAAAATAAACTTGAAGATAGGTAAGACAGTGTAGCGTGTTTGAGGTGTGAAGTATTCTATCTAAAAATCTAGCCATTCTGAAGCCAGACAATCATTCGAAAGCTCCATTGTTCTTTTACCTGGAAGCATTGACAACTGTTATAACACTGATTGAAAACTTTAATCTCAACTTAGAATAAATCCTATGGACCAATTACTTCGATGGTCTACTTCAACAAGTGCTTGTTACTGATGTGGTTTTCAGTAGCGAGGTAGTAATTCCAGGTTGAATGGGGTCTTACCGCCCCTAAACTTAGATGTGGTGAGCGGATGTAATTACGATCTCTTAAAGTGATTATCGAGTGTTCAGTACAAGGCCAAATACGTTTGTTGTCTAGTTTACACAACAAGGCTGTGACAAGTTGCCTAACATTATTAAATCCTATTTTTGAACCTTTCTTTCACGGAAATTGGAAGGAATCAGGGCTATGTGGCAAAAGGCTAAAATTATAAGAAGGATTCGAAGACCCCAGATCACCTACTGCCACCTAGAATACACTTTGACGAGAAGTCACATTGTCTTTTTCATTTAAAAAAAAATAAGACAAGGCCAAATTATTCAAATCTCACAATATTTCGACTCCACAGGAGTAGTCATAACAATGGCCGGTAATAGTAGTAGTAGTAGTAATAATAATAATAAGAACAAAAGTACAATAAGAACTTAAATGTACTGCAACTCAGGCACACACACACACCTGATACATGTATAAAAGAGAATAGAAATACAATTAATAAATCGTGCCCGTTGCTACTGAGAGTCAAGAGGTGGGGAAGGAGGAAGGGAGGGAGGGGAGTTGAAATCTCGGTGATTTGTTAGCCTTAGGTACCATTTTACATGCATGTTTCTTGTGTCTTGAGCACCAAGCACTTCTGGCACTCGACACGACAGCACCAGATAAATTTGCATTCGCAGTTTTCGAGGCCGTAGTAGCGGTGGGTCCTGTGGCCCCGACTGCAGCAGAGGGAGCGACAGTTGTCCCTCCCAGGGGACGTTGAGTTACAGGCTCGGCCCCGGGTGCCCAGGATGTGCAGGTGGGGGTTGGGGTCACAGAAGAGCTCCGGCGAGGGCTGCTCGTAGAAGACCAACTCCTGAGTCGTGGGCCGCTGGTCGTGTCCCGACCGGTCAAAACTGACCTTGAGGAGGGACGGCTGTCGTGGAAGGGCACTGTTTCGGTAAAGCAGTGAATTATGATCGACCTCGCGAAGAGTGCGCTGGTTGTTCCATCGGTTCAATTGGATAATCGAGTTCCCCCTGCTGAAATCTCTGGAGGTGTGATGGTCCAAGTTCATTGGTAGAGTGTTATCTACAAGACCAATTGAGAGGCCATAAAAAAGATGTTTTTTGAGGTACTGTCTCCTTGACTATCGGAATAACTTTCGAGCAGTTATCGGTGCTCGCAAAGCATCAAATTGGAGCTGGCATTTTGTCCAGCACTGTTTACTAGAGGGTCGACGTTAAAATCACGTTATATAAAAAAGCTACCATATGGGTTTAAGTCTGAATTCCGATTATTAATCACGCAATTTGTGGCATATTTGGTGTTCATATGGTTTCTTGGACTAATGGTACATTGATCCTATAAACTAAACACCGAATTAAGTCGCATGTAACTCACCTCTCATAACTTGAGCTGCCTTTTCATACTTTGCCTTCAGTTCGTTTCCAATGAGACGCATCGAGGGTGTCCGTCGATAGCATGTCTTTAGAGTACAGGATCCGCTTGTTCCATGACATCTACAGTACCGCTGCATATTCTCCGCGACTACCTAGAGTGGAAAACTAGCATCTAGTTTGTTAATTCACGTGGATGGCATGGTAGATACAACGAATATCACACTGATTTGCATCAATTATAGTTTATGCAAAATCTATTCACGTGGATGAGCAATACTAATAGACTACTTTTTCCAGCTGAATTTTACCTCGACAAACCCATTTAGCATTGATGCCATTGTCCACGCACGAATGGAAATTATTAACCGACAGGCTCCAAAAATGAAGTGGTTCTTCACTGTTTAGTATCGTCCACCATTCCAACCAAAGGTTAACTCATGTTGAATCATGGAAGCTGAACATCAAACCGCGGAATTTCAATCGGACTTGGATAAAGGTAGATCGACGCACAAGTTGGACGATCAGTAATCTCATGTACGTCTGTCATGCTAGGCCTGGACTCACCCTTCGACCAACTCGATAATTATGCAGGTTCATGAGGAATCGAATGTGGAATCCCCCAGTCTCCAGTGGGTCAAGTAGGCGTCGACCGAATTTCCTTCCATAATGAATGTTATGATCACACCCCTGCCACTGCCAGTTCACGACGTCGCGATCTCTTTCCTCGTGTGTCTCTCGCCCGCGATTGTTGCACGGACAGTTGCGGAGGCTAGTCAGACACGCCTCCGAGACTGCGCGCACCACACTCGCACTCACCAGAGCGTAGACGAACGCTGTTTCGGGAACACCTTGAAAAAAGGAAAGAAAGAACTACGTCCAGCTGGCTTAGCCCATAACAGCCGATTTGAACCAATCAAAGGTGTTCCACGTACCCTTGAGTAGAACATTGCCAAAAAGCGCGTTTTTATCCGAGAGCACCTCACTGCAATTCCAACGCTCACCCCGGAATTGATATTGGCATTCAGCCAGAGCCATTCTCACTCCTGTCACGGCTGCTTCCAGAAGTTCTAGATGAACAGATTCTTCTTGTTTTTCTTGGGTTAATTGGGGCTGAGAGGGCGTCTTCTGAAGGAACTGCTTCCATTGACGTGGGGAAAACCACTGACGATAACTACTGAGAAGTCGACGAAGTTTGTGGACGGCCCAAACTTGGTCGTAAATCGGCCAGCTCCCTGTCTAAGCCACAAAACATGCAAGTAGTCAATAAACGGACTGAAATTCAAAGACGTGCTAATGCGGCAGCCTTAAACTACTTCACTTACGACTCCAAGCTGAAGAAAATCTCATATTTTGGGTGATTTTGGCAGACACAAAGCACCCGAGGGATGAAAGAAGATCTAATCGATGAGAACTCAACCCTCTATCGTGTCGATAAGAGCGTGATCACCTTTTTGTGACAAGGCATCGGTATAAATTGAAATAATTGACGGCTGAATCAATGAGAGAAATTACATAGTAATATTCAATAATCTAGTAGATCCACGTAAGCTCGTTCGCGAACAATCTTAGATACAATTCAGGCAGGAGTGGTAATATTGCTCGATACTGGTCATCGTGAACGTGGGATGGGCAGTGGTCACCGGAAAAAATAAAAAAACGATTCATTATTTGAACAGTTAAAAGCATTCCTAATCTGGAAAGTGACTTAAGGACTGTGATAATAGAGGAAATATCACTGATCTGGGACTACTGCTGTGCATTTCTTGAAATGCTGGCCATTTAAGTCTGTTTAATTTGAGTATGGTTATAGTGGTTCAATTTGATACGGTTTCTAAATAAATGCACCGATTTGGTATTGCTGTCAGCTATTAGAGTTGTTTGGAAACTGTTACTTGAAGGAGTGCCTAAGTGATACAAATTTTAAACTAGCTCCTAATTTTTTTAGTTTTGTCCTTTTTAGTGAATCAGGCCATCGTTTGATCATAATTTTACTTCACTCAAACCCGTGCAATGATGAATTAGATGTGTGCGTTAAGAATTCGGGTATTAGGTCTCTCTACCTAAAAGGTAGAACAAAAGGCAGTCTAGAATCCTAGCGTCAATAGTTTGTGTAAAACTATTGACTTCTGAATGCAGACTTATTGTTAAAATTTCTGATAAGAAAAATAACGACGGACAATTTTTTTTATTACCGGTCATATTCCGTTTTATTGCATGTTTTGACAGAAAGGCTGGAGTGCCATCCAAGATGGGAAAGATCGTGCCGTCTCGAGTTTATGGCCACGTGGGTTGCACTTGACCTCCCACTGGGCAATTGTGTATTTCTCAGAAAAGCAGCTACACTTACGCAACGCGGATTTTCGCTTTTTTATGCGATAACAAGGATAATCAAGTTGTCATTCTTACTTAATTATTCATGGATTCGGAGGGAGGGAACCTGGTTTTGGCTGGATGACACAAACAGGTCACCAGAAAGCGCTATGTAACCCAGAAAGCCTATGCCGCGCACTGGTATCTCTACAATGACGCAAAATACTGTGTTTTCAATTATTTACAAAGTTGCCTACATGGAAGTGGACACTCAGGAAACCTATGCCACTTGTTCACCCAGGGGAGATAGATTTTCCCTCAGTTACAGAAAAGAGCTCCTGGTGGGACCGCTGGTTCATTCGAAAGTTACATTATTTTCACTGGAATTATGCGACTTTTACTCCTTAGGCCTGGATCCTAAGGCCAACTTTATTGGACTAACTGTGTGAGTCAGAATTTAATCATGCTTAGTAGGCGTTACTAGTACAATTCGAGATTAAGTTAGATACTAAACTTACGGCTCTTCTCCGAGTGGTACAGCGGATGCATAATTCAAGACCAGTTTTTGGGAAGCAGCAAGTATGCAGTCGCAAGTTCAAAATCCCTAGCCTACACTAGGTTATCGTTAGGGTTTTGGCTGCTAGAACGAGATACGGACCACATCAAGGTCATTTCCATAAGGATTTCATGCTATAAAGAGTCTTCCTAATTTGATAGGGTTGGGTAGGGTTCTGTAAGCTTTGGTTCATAGTGCTAATAATGCACTTTTATTACGGGGATGGATTATCATATTTACGAAAAATGAAAACTATGCGGCTTATTACCCGACATCCTTTTTTCAACCAAAATCATAAACTAAACTGGTTCTCACTAACAAAAAACACCCCAGAATTTGCAATTCCGCGAAACCTTCTGAGGGATCTCCTTTGTTAGGGATTGAGTGAACCCGAGGAGGGTCAAAATGTCTCACCTCAACGGAGGCCTGCCGATGTGATCTTGGGAAGTTGAGCAGTCGCGGGGGCGTCTCAAAGTTGAGGGATTCCTTTGTGGGAATTGATATCTCCCTCACGTACTTCGTCAAATGCAGGGGATGGTTGTGAAGCAGCCTCGCCAGCGAATCCAGCCTGCAAGAACATGCAAAGACAGCGCCGTTATGAGAAAACTCCGGTGGAAGACGATAGACAGTATATAAATGTAACAATGTCAGCTAAGTATGAATCGGTTGTGCCTCGGATTCGTTGACGTAGCAAACAGAACCACCGGCTCAATGAGGCCCACGAGAAACCCTGTCAGGAAGTGGCCCTAGAACTTCAACGAATTATTGTTCGTCAACTTCGGGTTTATCTAGTTGCAAAAACGCATTTCCTGTTTGTTTTCCATTGTGACTTTTACCAGTCTTCTCCTTAACTCTCTAATCTGAGTTACGTTGTAGCAGTTAACAGAAGAAACATAGATTTAACGCGTAAGAAACGTTTTTATGACCTGTGGGCTTTTGTGCGGGCGTTTGTAAGTGTGTGGTTGAGGTGCTTTTAATGTAAAACAAACAGGTCGCTGTCGACGACCCCGAGGCGTGTTTTTATTGCACCCAACCACCCAACGAGGGATGCTGCGGGCGGATTTGGGGCTGGGGTGGGGTGATGGGGGTGCGCGAATGGACTTGTGCACTCGTGAGAAAAAAATGCGCTGATGCTCATAGGGTGTGTTTTGTCAGTGGAAGTAATTTTTTGCGGTTTGTGTTCCCTTGAGTAAATAATTTCAATATGAATTCCACGAATTATGCTTTGCAGGTCGGTACTGAGAACTGAGCCTTACATACCAATTACATATATTGCTGGGATCACCAATAGCAATTAAGCTTATCAAATTGGCCGCTTAAAATGTTGAACTTATTTGAAAGGGGGATCTCTCTCTCATAATGTTGTGGAGCACAAGATTCCGGAAAGAAAACCCAGCTCATCGAAAAGGTCCTGTCGACTCACTGGCCACCCAAGTACATTGCGCAGGTGAAACCAACATTTATAGGTGAAACTTTACGGGGAGCTTGAAGTGTTACTAAGGTGTTCGCATTTTGTTAGCGGGTGTTAAAATCGGCATAAAATGTATTACTAGTTTTGATGTCTTTAATCGGTAGTATTCCTTCAAACTGTTCAGGCATTTACTTCTAGACTGGCATTTGCATCAATTGAATTGTGAGCTTTAGTTAACAAAACGCCAAAAACTGGTGTCTGTGAGGAAGTCTAGGCGCGTCAGTAAGGAAAAATCATGCATGTGTGTTGAGTATAACAATCTTACGACATGTCTTCACAACTGGTTCATTGACGCCAAGGAGTCCTCAAAACAAGAATCATAATTCCGCCCCAATTTATACACATCGTCTAAAGTAATGTGCATGAGTAGATATGACACCAAGGTCAGGTATTTATCTGCACCATTACACCATTCAACTTTTATTCCAGGTAACCATTCGCAATCCGCCAGACCCCCTCTCAATTCCCATAAAGCATGTAGCGTTACCGATCGGCAACGCAGGCGAGTGAAGGGACTGTTAACCTGTGCAAGGCGGGAGGTGTTGGCCGGAGGCGGACGCGGAAATGAGCCGTGATCACCCCGCGCGCGTGGCAATTAGACGACTGGTGTGCTTGCGCGCGACTGTCGTGGGAGTCGGCTCGTGTGTGTGTTCGTGTGTGTGTGTGTGTGTGTGTGTGTGTGTGTATACAACCTACTTTAGGAAAATAACGCCAACTTTCTCAAGAAGAAGAAGAAGTAGGTCAACCCATTTCCGGGCTTTTAAAAGATGCAATTTCAGTTAAAAGGCATTTCAGTTGTTTCATTATAACCAACCTAAAGCATTTCACAAAGTCAATTTATTTCCTTCAGGCGCTTCAATTTTCTCAAGGGAAAGAACTTTTAGTTTACGTGGAACTCATGTTTGTGAATTTCCGGGCATTTTTTTAATCACCTTTAGTTAACGAAGCCTAGTGCAAGGCCATTACGCGCTTCCGACAAGGGTTTCAATAAATTAATCCAAGGAAATTTTAAAAATCCACATATTCTCAATGTTTGCAAAACCATTCGCATGTTATTTGCGAGTCAAATATGAGTTACTTTTTCACAGATTTCAAGCCATATTTCACATAAGTAAGACAAATTTGAACCATCTAGGATCTTCGAATTCTCCGTGTTCACACCACGAAGAGAGTTCGGTACAGTCAGGATTTTCAGTGGGTGGTCGTGTAACTCCCAACGATGAATTACCTGTTACGTCACGTAAAATCAGCCACCCGTGGCAAAAATTAGCAAAAGCCCCTATTTAACGGGCAACGAACTATCCTGATCATAACTGGACAATAAACTGACTCCAAGAATAAAAATGTGGCCTCGTTGGGAGATATCTACTGTTTTATGGTTATCAGCGGAGCGTTGTGTAACCTTCTTTCACGAGAACGTGAGGTCAGAGAAAAATTAAAAGGCCCGCGATATGTCCCATATTTACCTGTTAATTTTCTTTATCCAATGAAATCCCAAGTACAATTTGGATGGTTTTTCTTTAACTAAAACTCGTCGAATACTTTGGCTGCTTTGAATCGACATAATTAATCTTATGACACAAAGTTGTTTTAACGATTAACACACTGCTGAAGACAATGCAACCGTGGTCTAGCGTCAGGTCCGTAGGATGTGAGGTGATGTTAATGTTTGCTACAACTGAAGGCTTTGAGATCAGAGGGTAAAGAATAACCACCGTGAGGTCTTTTGTTTTTCTCAAAGCTTCGAACGTGGTCATGAAATTGCGTGCATAATTTTTGTTTACTTTATTTGCGGAGGAGGAATACTTAAGCAGAAATCTCTCGGTGTGGTCGTGCGTAACCATCGTCCACATCGTCTCAGAGCGATTAGTGTAACAAATACTTTCCTCAATTCACTGGATCCGCACGAGTTGTCAACACTGAATAAATTAATAAAAAAGGCACGATGGTTCCTACCATCTCTTTGCTACCCGAAAAAACTGAAATGAACTAATGGGAATAAAGTAGCTTTCGTAATCATGTTTAAAGGACTTGTCGAGAAGGGATTTCTCCACACTGCAACATCCCCGGCAGCTTAAAATTCTCACTATATTGACACTTATTGGGTTCTTACATTTGTGGTGTCAATATCCAAACAAGCTCTAGCCTATTGTGGATCTTTAGAAAAATTCAACCCAAGAAGTGACCACTAGTTTGATCACTCGAAAAGTACAAAGCAAAACTTAACAAGTTTCTCACAAATTGCTGTCATCAAATTTACCTCAGTCTCTTACGGTTAAGTTCCAATGATGTCAGCAAATGGCATAGCTCTTGAAAGGTCGACACTTAAGTGCATAAAATACGTGGAATATCCGTCAGGAATCAACGATCGCCTGGAATAGATGAAATTATTGAACGTTTTTCATAGATTACTGTTTTGAAACGTTCAGTGTATTCACCGCGCAAAAGGAATAGCTGCATTACCGTTAAAAGAAATGAATGTAATAAAACGACAGGTTCATTTTTGAGAACCTATCCCGGCCAAATCAAACGTGTTGACTAGGCAAGATTTTTTCTAACTACTGCAATTTAAGCCTAATTAAAGCTAATAATATACTTAAATATTAACCTCAACAAAGCTTATTCATTTTGCCTTAAGTTCAGACAACTTCTGCCTATCAAAAAACACCCCTAGCTGTTTCTCGTTGGCTCTATTTCATCATGCAAACAAAGCCTCTCATTGTCAAGGTCACCTGATCCCTAATGTTAATTAGCTTAAAAAGGTACGAAACCAATAGCAATCGCCATAGGATGCCTCGACACATTATCGCCTCGGTTGTTCGTCCCTCTTTTCACAAATAGCCCGTCATGTAATCAGTTACAATTTGCAAACTCACCACCACCGTCCTGTAGGTTTTTCCACAAATTTATCCAAACTCAGAGGGTCTGGGGGTGAGTCTTTCTTGTTAACAGTGTCATGCTCCATAAGGACGTCCCGCTGCCATCCCGGCCCACGGTAATTCCTGGTTGGGGGACGCGGCTGTGGGCGTTCCAAGACGGTGAATTTTCCACCTCCCGGTGGATTGATGAGGTACTTTACCCCGCCCTTCCAAGGGATTTGAGAGTTGACTGCTGCAATGGTAAATAAAACAAGGACTATCTTAGTTCCTGTTTGCATGTTTTTTCTTTTCAGATTGAAATTCACAAGTCTGGATGGTTTTTATACTGGTCGCATTTTTTGGCGAACCAATTACCGCCATTTGTGCAATTACGCATGTGAGATCCCTGACCAATCAGTGAATCCTTGCTCACGAAAGCAGCGAATACTGGAAGTTGTGGTGCTTAGATACGGTGGTGGTGGTGGCGGGTGAGGATGGAGTAGTCGCACAAAAAAATTTAGCATGTAGTCATTCCTTCTTTTTTTCTAGGAACGATTCAGTGATTTTCAGGTAAAAACCATGAACTGGAAATTAAGAATTTGGTTAAAAATGACATTTCACTGTTTAATTATGATGGTCTCTTTTGAGAAGGTAAAATGCTTTGAAAACGTAATTCTATGCAATAACAGCTGCCTGTGGTGAATAGATGGTAAACAAGGCAATGGATAAAATTATTGAGGGCGTTCATAAATCTTGTATTTATTGGAAAAAGGTCCGCTATCATTCTAAATCAGCGTTCAGAAGGAGTAAGGAATGCAACGACGAGGAAATAAATGCCGAAAGCTAAAAAAACTGGTATTACCCATTTACATTTTCCTAGTTTTACCGTTCTTCAAACATATTTGGGTTTTGCTTGACACCTTTGGGGAAAAAGGCGTTACTGAAGGCGTTACTGACGCGTTAATGGTGGGTCAATTTTATCTTATATTGTTTCTTCGACGCATGCCACTTTAGTTTTGCGGACTGCCATGTTATAAGATCAAGTTTACGATATAACTCAAATTCAGAAATACTGGAACAGCCGGTATTCCATAAGAATGCCATTTTACTTGTAAACCCAGGGTGGCTGCAGCCCTGTTTGGAGCTCAGTTAATTTAACTTGGTGTGGCCGATAGGGTGTTCGTGTGGTGTCTGCCATCAGGGCCACAGAGGCTTGCACGCTCATGTTTGTCTTGCGAGGGCTCACGAGTTCAAACTCTGACTAGTGGGTGATGCTAAGTTTCTTTAAGAAAGTGTACACAGTGAAGGAATCTCCTTTTAAAATGGCATACAATTGGTTACAGTGGCCTATGTTGGCTAACGACGGGAGGTCATGTGTGTGCATTAGGCTAAAGACTTTGGCGCGCAGGACCTCTGACCGTGAGGAATCTGCCCCATCTTTACCAGATTCCAGTTATACTTCTAAATAACTAGAAAATTCGCATTTGCCAAAATTTTCTGGGTTGACTCCATTTACGTGGTTTAAGTGATTTGGCTTGGCTACAACGGCTTACCCCAAGCTGAGCCAGTTTGCAACTTCAAATCATGCCAGACACAAACCCACTTATTCACTGCGACTCTAACCCGGTTCCACATGGCCACTGTGAAATGATTGGATGCTCATTTGATGATGAGGCCGTTAAAACAGATATAAATTGGCTAAAAGTCTGGCCAAACACAACTGGAAATAATTTTTTATAGTCTGAAAATGTTGGATTTATATTTATCACAAATATTTAAGATATAGATTGAAGATTTACTACCGCTTTAAGATAACTGTCTCGAAAAGACGCTATAATACTCGGTCTACAGCCTTTCAATCCACTAAGATAACTACACACGATGATAATAGATAAACATCACAATTTAGACTACGGAGACTTGAGTGTGTGGCTGATTCCCACATGAAGGAAGTCTGAAATGGTTGTGGGAACAAAAAGACTAGCAAGAAAAGCTATTAAGGAAGGACAAAGTCCCTAAACTATTTCCATTACTGAATGTCGCATCATCAACCAACATTGTTCAAATTTTAAAAATTTCTTATATTTTAACTGACTGCAATGACTCCAGTAAGAAGTGATGCTTTGAAGTAGAGGGGAAATAGAAACCCATTTATGGTAGAACACGAACCCTTAAGGTGCTACAAAGTTAAGCCCTGTGAGGGAGCAAGGATGTGCACTAACTGAAGCTCAACTGTGACGATTGTTCCAAATAAACTGGAAGCATGACGGGATTCACTCATGTGTGCACTCACCAAACTGCCTTTAAGTAATACGTTTCGCAAAATTCGCACGGAGTTTTGCTTCGCAAGGAAGAAGGAAAAAGGGGAAAAACCCCGAGAAATGTGTACCCCAAGTTAACTCCACTTCCAACGCCACCACCACGCATGATTGATGACCCCTCCTCCATTTGTGTGGTCGGGAAAACCAAGAAACGAATAAAATGGTTTTAAGAAAGAAGTGTAGGTGTGCACATTCGCTAGAAGAATTTCCCGTTTCACCGTAAAACATTTTTAGTTTTGCAGTGTTACTTCGTAGTCTAATTACATCACGGTGTCTCCGTTCTTGACGAGAAGCCAGTAGGCAATTCTGTCGTTAGCTAGTTACGGAACGTACCCAGGATCTGAAATTTAGCCAAAAATTCTGCGTTTCCTTATTTATTTATTCATTCAGAATTTCTATAGCAGACACTTGGGTTGACAAGCTGTGTATCCTGATGCCTAGGCAAATTCAATTTAGACGACCCAACAGACAACTTTAGATGCTTGGTCCTCCCTGGTAAATGAAACTTTTGACATAATGTTTGTCATCCAAGGAAAACGCAAAGCCATTGAAGACACTCCCTTGCAAGCTTTTGCAATGTGGAGTAGGAATAGCGGAAAATTTTTTTCTAAGATAAAATGCTTTAGGCAGTCTAGATGCGCAACAATTGACACCAGTCCAAGTCTCCCACGTGTTTGCTTTTCAAGCGAAAAACCCATTAATCACCCCGGTCCCCTGGAACGAACTAAGAAAGTGGGAACAGGACAGACACGCTTTATAGCCACCTCGACAAAATCATTTGCTCCATTCTTAAGCCCTTGGATCACGGAAAAAGGCTTCTGATTTTGGTGTATGCAAGCTTGACTTGTGATGTCTACTTTTACATACATTGTGCACAATTCTCTTAGCCTAACAAAATACAAGAACGATGCACGGAATTGTATAGCTAACAATGTGCTGAAAAGTCCGGCCAATAGGGTTTCTGCAAAGAAACTTGACTTGCCAGAGCTGATCCAAAGTGGCTATCTGGATTTGAATCAGCACAGCGATGGAGACACTTAAGATATACAAATGCAAAAGATCCGCAACCGAATCGAAACACAAGAATATTTCGTTTTAATTGAGGCCACGTCTTTCCTAGTCATGTTAATACTTGCTACATTCGTACTTATGCTATGTCGCACAATTAGAATTTGTTACCCTACTCTGCTAAATAAATAAACAAAAATTATGCACTTTTATGCCAGTAATAGTTAATCAGATATCTCATTTTAGTCAAACTACTTATCGTTTGCTCGCAAGCATTTTTCCGTGAGTTTTGGGCTTATTTGTTCCAGAAAAGCATGGTAGTCAGTGGACAGCCAAGGTAAATCATTCCTAATAGAAACAGTCTTACTCCGTTCGATTTGTTGACATAGAAGTTTTACCGACATCCACAGGCACGTAGTTTAAAGAACTAAACCATCCTATTTTTTTAAAATTTTCCCATAATGGTTATAGGGGTTGATGGAAAATTATACAAGTCACATAGTTAGTCCTGAACTGTGTTTGAGAGTGGTCAAATTCTATCGATTTCTTGAAGGCTCCATTAACAATAGGAACAGGGTGCTTGCCACGAGACCCAATCTATAATGACTTTTTAATTAAATAGACTTTGACGTGTCAACTTCGTTGCCGACGTTATGAAGCCTGGGAACACTGCAATCACTGCGTTTTCATATTAAACAAATATTAAGTGTCTGACTACACAACGAGTTACTATTTTTATTAAATTACAGTTTTAAAAAATACCTTAAATATCGGGCACTTGCAGAAAAGAATAATTTATTATATAAACGAAATAAAATGTAGTGTCAAACACACAGTGGACTTGACTTAACTCGCCACCGACACAAATGCCACCTTCCGCTTGAGTAATGCAATTCTGGTCATTATTCGGGTTTCGGTAGTCGATTTGGTGGCACACAAAAGCCTGTTGGTTTAATGGCCGAATGTGCAAAGAGCAAGGCGCTTGAGTTGGGCTATTTCGCAGAGGTTTGTGTTTCATTTTAAAAACCAAAGAGTGCTTGCGTTCGGTAAAGAAGCCATGCTACATTGGCTCCAAATGCTTAAGAACAATTTATAATTTGTTCAGTTAAAGGAAATATCAAGCTGACATGGTTTTCGACCATCGTATTTAAAAAGTAGTCAATCTTAAAAAGAAACGTCTTGAGTGTCAAACATTTGAATGCTTAATCAGTCTCTGAATATCTCGTTAAATCAATTATTCCCAAGGCTGTCGATCCTAAATACAATCTTTTTGGAATGTGCTTCATTTCGGACCTTATTTTTGTGTCTAGGTGGACTAAAACCCATTACATCAGTGTCCGTATGGATTGGAAAGCCTTCACATTAGATAACTTTAGGCAAAATTATGCTTCTGACTAAATTAAAACGTGGTAATGTTACAAAAAAAACTAATTTCATAGCTCCTAGTTGTTGCAGTAATGATCTATTCCAATAGCCGATCTGTTTTCTAAAATTAATCAAGTTCTGGCTATCAGACTAACCGGTAATTGTAAGCAGTCTCGTTATTAATAGAAACAAGTGTTGTATAAGAATAATTTTGCATTGTTTGGCTACCCACTCAATTGACTAGAGTTCAACTTAGTGCTTCCAGCGATTCTCGATTACAGAATTTGTTCAAAATAAAAATAAAAACAGAACAGATAGGTTTGTGGCGAGCAGCAAGCCAGCACAGTTAGCAATTTGCAGGCGTGAGCGAATACAATTTAATCGATTTTCGTGAATGCGCTTCACACAACTACGTGCGTTCAGAGATCGATGTGAACGTACTTTTTACCCTGTCCACACACCACCACCGCTACTGCATCAATAAATTAGTTGAGCTACGCGCCATCTGCATTTGCCACTCCTTTTTTCGGTCAGGCCTTGCCAGTGTATATTGCCGGCCCTGGTGTGGTGACCGAAAACCGCACCGGGGACCACTACAGCTTTTT